ACCGCGTCCCGTCTGATCCGCGAAGTCAACTAGGAGAGCGCTCGGTTAGTACCAGGGTGGGGGACCACCTGGGAATCCCGGGTGCCGTCGTTTTTTGCTTCTTTTTGCTAGCCGGTACGGTCATGTTTGTGTAGGGTTCATGAGGGGCTACACATAAGGATACGACTCTATATGAGGGCATGACGAGCTGCTGGGTCATATCTAGGGGCACCATTGATTTTGTCAACAAGCGCCCGCACCAAACAACAATGACATGCGGGGCCAAGAGAGGCGGATGACTCCGCCTCGTCATTGTTGTGAAGCCGTAGTACGATATATTCCATATTTGTTGTCAAAGTTCAGTTCATCCGACATCACTTACCGCTTGACTCCAGACGGTATACTGTTCCCAGGCACCCAATCATTCTTCGATCGACCCGACCTATTACCCCGTCCGCTCAGTGCTAGCCATGACCACCGTTAACGTCACATTCGACGACTTTGACCCCCTCCTGGTCTTTTCAGACTACTCGCAATGGTGGACCCCGGATCCCTCAGAGCATCCTGAGTGGTACAATGCGACTTCACAAGAAGCCGGCGTGAACTGGCATGAAGGTGAGACATAGCATTGAGGGTGCAGCACACGATTAACTGATCGCCGTTACAGCTACGGTGCACTATGCCACTGAGCAAGGCGCTTCTTTCGCCCTCAACTTTACCTCCCCCGCCATTTACATTTACGGCATCGCTGGCCCCTCCTCTACAAACTACACCATCTCTCTGGATGGTACTACCACCTCGCATTCCCTTTCGGGCAACAACTCCGATACCTCGGTTGATGATGGCCGGACTCTGCTCTGGAGCCAGTCGGGGCTGGAGACGGGCAAGGTGCATCAGGTGGAGCTGACGAATGAGGGAAGCGGGGTGGGTGTAGATCTTGTGGTGCTGGAAGTCGATGTCGGGTGAGTGATCGTTCCTTTGTCTTCCAGACCGAGGGCTTAAACACAGTAGGCAAAACGCAAAAAATACGACTGTGGACAACACATCCGGAGACATTCTGTACACGTCCAATTGGTCGAGCAATGATGGCAACTTCTACAACGGTAGTAGCTCTTACACGTCTGGCAGCGGTAACAGTCTCACCTTCAACTTTACCGGTATGCGACTCTCTGCCTTCATGTCCTGTCATGCTGACATCCCTCAGGATCCGCCCTCTACGTCTTTGGCGACCAAGTCAACGACCACGGGGTATTCTCCCTCTACTTCAACTCCTCTTCCACCCCATTCTTTACACCCAGTGGCCGGTCTGGCTGTCAAGTTGCCAACGACCAAGTCGAAAAGAGTTGTGAAAAGCTGGATAGTCTGAAAGCTTTCGTGGGCGGTTTGCCCGCGGGAGAGCATCAGGTGGAAATTGTGAACCAAGGACAAGATACTTACTTCGGTGAGTGACGTTTGATCATCGGTGCCAGGACTGACAACAAGCAGACTTTGACTATCTCGTGTACACTACCCCCGAGCAATACCCTTCCTTCACCCTTGACGCTACTTGCGCGAATGGTATATGCGGCGACTCTTCCTCCGCCAACTCCACTGCTTCAGCCTCCGAAAGCGCCAGCTCCAGTGCGGCTTCGTCGACCTCCACAGGCGACTCTGGGTCATCTTCCAGTGGTGCTATGCGGATGGGTGTTGATGGGCTGGCGGGTTGGATGATGCTCGGGTGGATTGGGATCTGGGGTTGGAGGAGGATGACGTCTGCGTGGGCTTGTGACTATAATCTCTGAACAGTATATACATCGTCATCAGGCAGTCGAAGCCATGCACATACTTCAAAAAGAGCACTCTCGCGACCATTCATATATCCCCTCGATGTGGCTGTCACGTGCGGCGGAGATCTCCGCGATGACGTGGGCCGCCAAGCGCTGCTGTGCAGGGGGCGTCGGTCTTTCGCTTGTTGTTGCCGTTCGTATTTCTATCTCCATCCTTCTTTTGCATTTCTACATTCTATCACCCAGCAACACATCAAAGCAACAATATGGGTCTCGCCTCCAAACTCGCAGCTTCCAACCAGGCCGGTGTTGGCGCCGGCGGTGCCTCCGGCGCTCCCGCCTTCCAGCAGCAACCTCAACAAGCCCAGCAACAATCTTACGGCCAGCCTCAACAGCAGTCTTATGGCCAGCCACAACAGCAGCAGCAGTACGGAACCTCTTCTCCTGCTCCCGGTGCCAAGTGAGTGGCGAATATAGCTCCAGTCATGACCGGGCACTAATGCGGAATAGCCAATACGCTTCTCCCTCAGGCGCCCCTCCGTCTCAATACGGCCAGCAACAGGGCCAGTATGGCCAACAGTCCCAGTACGGCCAGCAGGGTCAGCAAGGACAGTACTCTGCTCCCCCTGGTGCTCCCCCTGTTCCCGGTAGCAGGTAAGTGATTTTCATATGTGCTGTGCATTCCGCCGACATCTGCGCAGGCCTGGCGCTGCTCCCGGCCAGACCCAGTTCCCCAGCGCCTCCGGCACTCCCTCTCAGTACGGCCAGCAGCAAGGTCAATATGGCCAGCAACCCCAGTATGGTCAACAGCAGGGACAGTACGGCCAACAAGGTCAATACGGGCAGCAGGGACAGCAAGGGCAGTACGGCCAGCAGGGGCAACAAGGTCAGTATGGCCAGCAGTCTCAGTACGGCCAGCAGGGGCAATATGGTGCCCAGCCTGGTCAGCATTTGCCTTCTCAGCAGTATGGTCAGAACCCTCCTGCTTACGGTGCTCCAGGCGTCGGTGCTGCTCAGCCTCCTGCCCAGGGCGGAAACAACCAGAACCCCCAGTACTTGCTGTCCCTCTTGCAGCAATGTGTTGTTGACGTAAGTATCCTTCTGCTTGCCGACGCCTTTTACACGTGTTTACCCATATCTAGCAAAATATTCAAGCCTTCTACCCTCCCGGATCTCTCGAGCCCATCGCGAACCGCGTCGCTCAATCTGGTGCGCTGAACAAGATTGCCACCGAGTGGAAGATCCCCACCGAGCTCGCTGCGGACCTCGTCAAGCTTTCCTTGTTCGACGTCATCCTCTACATTGATGACTCTGGGTCCATGGCTTTCGAGGGCGGCGGTGAGCGAATCGATGACCTCAAGCTCGTCATGTCTCGTGTCGCCTTTGCCACTTCTCTCTTTGACCATGACGGTATCCAGGTCCGCATGATGAACAGCAGGGTTGAGGGTAACGGGATCAAGAGCGAGCCCGATGCGTTGAGGTTGATTGACCAGATCAAGTTCTCTGGTACGTGTGCATACCGTTCCAGTGAGGTTCGAGCTGACTTTGCGCAGGTTTGACTCCCTTGGGTACCGGTCTGTGGCAAAAGATTCTCCAGCCTCTTGTTCTCGGCCCTGCCCAGCAGAACAGGCTTGAGAAGCCTGTGGTTGTTATTAGTAAGTAATGCTGCCAAGCTGTCTTACACTTGCTGACTACTTCTAGCCATCACCGACGGTACCCCTGCCGGTGAACCCAAGGACGAAATCTTCAACGTGATCCTTCGTACCGACCAAGAGCTCAAGCGTACTCGATACGGCCCTGACGCCATCTCTTACCGTACGTTTAGCTCACACGTTCTCTCCTTCGGAAGCTGACTTTGATTTAGAATTCGCTCAGGTTGGCGACGACCTCAAGGCCCAGGCCTTCCTTGAACAACTCGATGTCCACCCCGTCGTTGGCGGCCTCGTCGACTGTACCTCAAACTTTGAGGCCGAGCAGGCTGAGATGTTGAGGAAGAGCGGCATCAACCTTGACCCTAGCATGTGGATCGTCAAGCTTCTGATGGGTCCTATCGACTCAAGTTACGACACCAAGGGTGAGTTTGCCTTTCGTTTCTCGTCTGCGGGGGAGGAGGAGGAGGTTCCATTCGAGCACAGCTCCACCCGTGAGGGTTATCATCATCTTTCGTCATCCCTGGCCTTCGATCTTCACTTGCTGGAGATTGGTCTTGCGCTAGGATGATGGACAGAGTTGGATGACAACAACCCTCCCGAGAAAGCTGTACTGACAACCTCTTCTTCTTTTTCCTTCCAGACGAAAACAACAAGTTTACCAAGCATTACTGATTTGTGTCTTCCAGACGAGTAATCCTTTCTTGGCGCTATGAGTTCTGTGAATGTAGTTGAAGTGGAAAGAGGGGCGTCATACACGCCAAGCCCCATAACTGTAGCGAACGAACGGCGAGAGAAAGGGGCACAACTCAGGAAGGTCTATCTTAATGTTCTGGAGATTTATATTACTTGATGCAATACCGTACCATCGTATTTGCCCGCGCCATCGATCCAATTTCTCCGGGCGCCCAGTACATCCCCTCGACACGTCTTTTCTGCAATGAGCCTGTCATTACCTGTAGGACTGAGCCAAGAGAACGAAAACGGAGGCACTTGGTCGTAGGATTATCATTTTCGCAAAGTTTCCATCCGCAGATCCTACGTATGTACACCGCCCATAGAAAGCAAGAGGCTGACCCAGGCGAGCCAGAAGGAAGAGGCAAAAAGGAGCAAAAACGACGGCACCCGGGATTCCCAGGTGGTCCCCCACCCTGGTACTAACCGAGCGCTCTCCTAGTTGACTTCGCGGATCAGACGGGACGCGGTACTTTGAGGAGGCTATGGCCGTCGATGAAGGACATTGTCATTGAGGAGGACATGTACGGGGATCCCCGCACGGGATCAATTGTTCGAAGAAAGAGCAACTGCCGGCAATAGTGACAACGACGATGTTCTTGATTCCGTTCTTTCTCTTCGACTTTCATACCAACCGCAACTCCCGACACTGAATTATGCCTTCGCGCCCCAAGACCTCCCTCACCAACCCCGAAGCGTTGCCCCTCTCCTCACTGCCCTCCGAAATCGTCGCCCTCATCTACTCTTTTTATCTCGCTCAAAACCCCATCGAGAACAGGAGCCATTTCCTCAACCTCATCACGCTTTCCAAGGAAATCTATTCCGAGAATGCCTGGAGGCTGTATGAAGTCGTGGAGCTCGACGATCAGAACTGCAAGGCGTTCTTTGAGGGGGTATGGAACGCGAGTGATTTTCCCGAGAAGCCCTCGCGCTCGCAATCCCCAAGCGTGGAGACGGACGACGGAAAAGATCAGTCAGATATGCGAGGAGACCTTGTCGACGAAATAGAGCTCTTTACTCCTCCAGGGCGACCTCTGGAACGACCGACCTACCTCTCGTCAGACTCTAATGCCCCGTACGCCACATACGAGTACGAGTCCCACATCCCCTTCCACCTTCACCCCTGTATTCGAAAAGTCCTCCTCATACGACAGTGCCGCAGGCTCTATATCGATAGCTGGAAGGCTTTCGATGAGCTGCAGATGTGCAACCATGATGTCCTGCAAGAAGCCATCTATTGGCTTGATGACAGAGCATCTAATGATTGGGCGATAGAGCCGTTGTTCTTCTCCGTCACCCACCTTTCGTTTGGCACACCATTCATGACCAGCTACCAAAAAAACATCGCTACAAATCGGTACTTGCTGGGACAGTTCGAGCTTTTCGGCTTGTCGCTCAAGCACATCTGCCTGGCCCTTTGCGACGACTATTACGATGTAGACAGCTCGGACGACTGCGATTGCGATGCTCTCGAGCGTAGAATAGAGAGTGTGACAGAACTGCTCCAAGAAGACCTTTCGTTCGCACTCTGGTCCACGATAGATCAGAAGACGTCCCTGACGTTACACGACGCGAGACCCGAGGATTTCGAAGATGGACTAGCAGATACGATAATATACGAGATGCCTAGAAAGACGGATGCTGGTGTGGATGAGTGGAAGAAGCAGATAATGATGGCAGAAGCGGAGATAGGAAGCCACATGTCGGTGTTGGGATACGAGCTACGGCAAGGCGAGGTGGGAGCAGACAGGTGAGTGGTATTGCCTCCACAGTACATGACTGATGACTCTTGTAGCTGGAAGCCCCAATTTCAGCCTTGGAAGATACGTTTCACCAATATGGCGCCCCTTCCAGCCGACGTCGATCTCCCCCAGCTCTTCTTGAACGATTGCTCCTATAGCCGAGATGGCCCAAACGAACAATTCGAACAGGTGTTCAGAAAGTGGTGGGAAGAGGTCGTCAGTTTCGAGGGACCGACTAAATGCGAGTGTTGTGATATCTTCAAAAAGGGACATCCAAAGGTGCGTATCCCCCCGCCAATTGACTAGGGATACTGACCGAGACTAGTCTCCTGCCAGATCGGCGTGATGTCTTTGGTGCAAGAATGGTACTTTCCAAGGGAGGACGAGGCTCTACAGCAAGTCCCACATGATCGGCCACACATAACGCGCGCTGACAACTGTATAGCCCAAGGTATATCCGCCAGGGTGGCCTCCTTCACCGTCGTCTCCTCTGTGGTCCTTTCCGACGTCACAGCATTCGTCTCGCTCGCCATTTCGTTCGCAGTCCCCTCCATCTGCGTCCTCGGCAGTGTCTTGGATAGCGTGAAAGCCGTTTGATTGATGGCTAGCCATTGAGGCCCATTTGACGGCGCGTCGCTTCTTGCTCGAGGGGCTGTGATGGCGGACGTGAGAACGAAACCATGGAGCATGCGTATGTCGGAGTCTTGAAGGGAGTATCATAGTCACATGAAAGCTGTGCCTCTAGAGACATTATGCAAGCAGCCGCAATAATGGTGAAAGGACGGTTGCACCATAACGAGGACGCAGCAACTGTCAAGTCATGAAATGCATCTCCAAAGCTTGATACAATGGTCGAGCTCTTTGACATTCGGGGTTCATCTTCTGAGCAGACTGCAAGTTGAGAATACGTGTGCGGCTGACAGAATCCTCTACTTCATCTACAAGTCACATCATCATCAGCTCGGCGCCTCAGCAAGAGGAGAAAGAGGTGAAAAGACTTGCCAGATATGGAAGAGAGAGCGGCCTCGATATAACGTGGGCCTTTGATCTCGAAAGTATCTACAATGTGCTGTCGAGCACCAAGTTCCTCGGTTGTAAGCTTGATGTTGACAGTATTGATGTTCTCAATGACACGCTCGGGCTTGGTTGTGCCGGGAAAAGGCATAGACTAGAGTCACATCAGCCAACAATGTCTCATGAACCTGGATGCAAACTCACATAATCGGAGATACTGTAAACAGGGCCAGTTGCGGTGAAAACCCACTCCGCCCTTGATCACCAAGACCACCTTGGTCTTGTACTCTTCGGGGATATTCGTCAAAGAATCGACGGAGAAGCTTGATGTTTGGCGAATGGATCTGTGGGAGGGCCGTAGAGAGCGGCAGAAAACTAGCAGTTTGAGCCGTTGTCCGCTGCAGTTCTGTCCACCTCCCGACTCCATTATCAGCTGCGCTCGAAACCAGATGCAAGAGGACGGCCCACTTTATCGCTGCGAAAGAAAGCGTCTTCATCAGAGGGAGGGGTGGCGGTCAATGTGAGCTGCAGCTACATCATGTCAGACCGTAGCTTGGTACGTGAATTCAACAGCTGCTCCTTCTTCCTTCTTCCTCGTGGCTCTGCTGCTCACGCCATACGGCCGACTTTTGCTGACCTGCGATGTTGATTGTGCGTGGAGGACACGCCGCGTTTGAGCTGATAATACTGTATAAATATCGATTATGCGGGAGCGATATAATGGTATGCTTGATCAAAGTTGGCTTGACTGAGGGTGAATGATCTTGCCCCCTGGCTCACTCAATATAGTCGCAGCCGTCTAGAAAACTCTGCGGGCCGGGGGCGGGAATAAGGATTTATGATGATGATAACTGTACTGGTAGAGTAGACCCCGAAGGCTAAAGGCCGAAGGCTAAGTGAGCATGTATGTAGCGACTTTTGCTCGGATATTGGCGCTGCTGATGATGACGAGAGACGCGACTCGTGCGTGATTCGACTTCTGCCGCGTCCTGATCAGTGATAAATACCGCTTTAAATCCAAAGACAGCGTTGACGGAATGGATGATATTCACATTAATGCTTCAGGCTCCCTGATGAGAGATCAAGACACGATAGCGCCATGTCCCTCGCTGGCTGGTCAACATACTCGAGTACCATCCCAGGTCTCAGGCCATTGAGAGTTTTGAGATGTAGATTGTTTGTATAGATAACATCTATTCAAGTTGGTCTAATCGACTTGTACGAACACCGTTGGTGAAATGGTATCATGCAACTTTGCCATAGTTGCGGCAAGGGTTCGATTCCCTTACGGTGTATATCTTTTTGACTTTTTTTCTTTGTTTTTTTTTGCTGATCACCCTCTCCGCCGTTTATCTTGGTGGCAGGTCGAGAAGTGTCTGGTATATATTCGCATCACGACAGAAGGTACATAACACAATCTTGTCCTGTCAGACCAGTCAGCTGTCAGAGTGTCATGACATCCGACTTTCAAAGCATTCCGTATAAGGTTCCAGGGTGAGTCCTGGCCACGTGGGAGGCACGCGTCACGGAAACTTTTTCTTGTCCACTGTTTGGTGCTTCCCGTGGTGACTGGTGAGTACCGTGCAGAGCGTGCAACTGCAGGGGGGGTCGAGGGGGGTGGAGGGGTGGAGGGGGAGGAAGAGGTATGCATCGAGAAGGGCCAGCAGCCAGCAGACACAGAGAGAGCAGAGGACACGCCGAGATGATGCATAGTAAGTACCCGGCGGGATAAAATACACAAAATAGGCTTGATTAATCGGGGTAATGTTTGTTTTCGCCATCTCGTGTTTGATGAGTCTCTGCACATAACGAGCGACGAGCCCATCCCCGAGGGATCCACGATGAACGCGCACTCCCCGCCCCTCCCGAATCTGCACGCCCTCTCCCTCGACACCCACGGCCCCGGCGGCTACACCCACCCCCCCCAGCACACCTACCGCTACAATGCCGTATTCGGCCCCCCCGTAGGCATGCCCCAGCCAGCAGGCAGCCCAGACTGGTCCTCCAAACGCAGCTCCCGATCCGGCCTGCCTACTGTATGTCCCCCGTCTTGTGCGTGCGCCGCTGACCCCGCTCCAGAACTGGTACGACCCGAACGAGTACAGGCCCGCATCCCCCCCCGCGACCCTCTCCCCTCCGTCCTCGGCCCCCACCACCGCCCCGGCCTACCCCTACCAGCCCCAGCCGTCCTACCCCGACGGCTCGTATGGGATGCCCCTCGGCATGGTCGACACGCCCTCCCCACCCCCGATGGGCTATCCCCCGATGGGCTTCAACGGCGGCTACCCCGTAGACCAGAGACGCGCACAGCAGCAGGCGCAGGGCCAGGCGAATGGATGGCGGAACGGCTATGCGATGCCTGCAATCCCTCATCAAGACGACGACGTGATCCCCACCGCCATCGTCATCAAAAACATTCCCTTTGCCGTCACACGTGAGACCCTGCTGGGCGTGATGGAGTCGCTCGGCGCGCCTCTGCCTTATGCGTTCAACTATCACCACGATAATGGCGTATTCCGCGGTCTGGCGTTTGCAAACTTTAGGGCCCCCGAGGAGGCCGCGAGTGTCGTCGCCGCGCTGAACGGGTACGACGTCCAGGGGAGAAAGCTGCGCGTCGAGTATAAAAAAGTGCTGCAGCCGGGAGAAAAGGACAAGATTGAGAGGGAAAAGGCGTTGAAGAGGATGCGGTCGCTGCAGTTTGATAGGGAAAAGATGCCGCCGCCTCTCAACCTGCCTATCCGTCATCAGCAGGTGCCCCCCATTCCGTATGACCAGTCGCCACCCCATTCCGCCTCGGCGGCGTCGACTTCATCTGCCGACAATCTACCCCCGCTCGATATGAATGACCCCGCCACGCTCGACATCTACTCTCGCGTCTTGGTTTTCAAAGAGGACAGGATGCGGGATGAGCTGGCGTTTTCCAAAAACTTGACCCCGCAGGAGAGGAGGATTGTGCATTCCGTCGCACAGCGACTCGGCCTCTCGAGCCGTACGCGAGGCGAAGACGACCAAACCGTCGTAGTCAGCCGCGAACCCCAGCCCCGACCGCAACTCCACTCCTCCACATCCCTCCAAAACAACTACTACGACCCTTCTCCCCAGTCTTCCGCACCCGAAGTCTCGCCAAACCTCCGGTACAAAAAGTCCATGCCGGATCTGCGCGGTTTCAATGGTCCTGTCGTGTCGCGCGACCCGTCCCGGAGTTTGACGCCGCAGAGGAGTTCGGGCAATATCCGAGAGATGGGGCGCGAGTATGCGTCCATGGGCGCTGCTGGTGGTCGTCAGGCGAGTCGTCAGCAGCCGTCCAACCCTCAATACGGCGGTGCATTCAACGGCCTGTTTGGCCATTCTATCGATATCCCCCCTGTGCCGCCTCTTCCTTCTGGGATGGGCATGCACAACAAGGGCCACTCTGTCTCGAGTATCAGCGGGATAAGCGGCCAGCCGCATCACTCCCACTCGCACTCGTACTCGCAATCCAACCAAGCATTCTCCTCACACCACTCCAACGGCCGCGCCTCGCCTGAAGACTTGCTCTCACCCATCTCGTCCTCTTCCCTCTCCCACGCGCAGTCCCTGCCGAATAATAATCATAATAATGCGACGCAACCGGTGCGGAACCCCCGCGGACCGGCGGGCGAGTCTAGGGGGTTTTCACAGACGTTGAGGCCGGTGGCGAGTAGGGGCATGATGGGCCCGCCTCATCTCCCCCATTCCTCCGGCAGCGCAGGGAGCAGCGGCGGCAGCACCGGCAACAGCACCAGCGCCGCAGGCCTCTCCTCTTCCCTCCCCCGGGATCTGGGGAGGGAAGCGGCGGGCACGATCGGTGAAGGACCTGGGAGTGTGAGTAGTAGGCGGGATAGTGGGAGTGTGAAGAGTGGGACTGGGAGTGGGAGTGGGAGTGGGGATGAGGGGATCATGAGGACGAGGGAGAGTTTAGAAATCTAAAGGAGGGGATGCCTTTTGGATATAGAGTAGTTGTTTGGGGGAAAACCTTTGCTTTCCCCTTTCTGGCGTAAGTCCCACCTTGTGTTTTTTGGAAGGAGTGGTGGCTGACAAGAGATGGTAGATGACGTATCGTAACGAGCACGACCTACATTTTTTTCTTTCTTTTTCAACAAACGACCCCTCATCCCTGATCTCCCTTCCTCTCTCTACAAATACGACCATAACTCTTTCTGAACGCGTGATTTGTGTGCCACGACTCTCAAAAAAAAAACCCCCCCGCTCGATGTTTTAACGTCCATGCCCCCTTCTTCTTTCTTTCAGAAGACGTTATCTTTTGCTCTCTCTTTTCATGTCCTTTTATGCTTTATGCCCTCTTACTAAAAGCTTTTTTATGACAACGATCCAACTTTTGAACTCGCCTTTTCACGCAACCTTTTTTTCTTGATATTTCCTTCTAACGTCATTCTCTCTCTCTCTCTCTCGCTTCATTTGCCCGTTGACTATCTTGTTCCCGTGTGGTGGGGGGGGGGGGGATAGTTGAATGTTTATGCCGCACTTCATTTCACATTTCAATACGAGTACAACCATCCATATATACCTTCGTTCAATTCATTCGATTCGTTTATCACACCATCCAAAAAATGTTCTCCGACTTTTTTTTGCAAAAGGGTTTTCATGAATCTAAAAACGTTATCAGAACAAAGTCGTATACAGCTCGTACAGTACAGTACTCTACTCGTGCATGAAGATGATGCAATAATGCAAACACCGACCAGAAGTATGCTGCGCTTGTTCACGTTATCACTCAACATTCCGATTGGAGCGCGGGGGGGGGGGGGGAGCTGATCGACATGCTACATGCTGCATGTCGAGGCCAAGTACGAGTAGACCCTCCAAGATATAATACACTTCTCCAAACAATCCTCCTCCCGCCTATTATCTATCATTCCCAATCATGCACAGCAGACGACCCCATCTCCTTCCCCACTCTATCGATGGACAACTCTATCGATGAACAACTCTATCGATATGCACAGGATATCTTCCTCCACTCAAAGCGCCCTGATCGAGAATGACCTGGTTTCCAGGCTGTACCCATCTCGACCCACTCATGGGCTGTATAGGCATCCCCGCCCGTCTCGAGTCATGTCTAGCCAAGAAGAAGAAGAAGAAGAAGAAGGAGGAGGAGGAGGCGATTGCGGCAGGGATGGGAGAGATGGTGGGATGAAGAGAGAGTTCCTGACTATACGCCTGTGACCAGCAGTCAGTATCTGTATCTACAAAGCAGGGGGGAAGGGGAAGGACATACGAAAGTCGCTCATATTCGGATCGCATGGAAGTATACATCTTGCTTGGGTAGGTATCCCCATTCGGCGCGAAAAGCACCTTCAGTTTACCCTCTTCTCCTCCCTCTTCTTCTCCTGCGGGAAGGTGCTCCTCTTCGGGAACGATCTCGAGCATCTTTGGCATAGATCTTGGGTCTGACGTATGCCTGACCACAGATGATGATGAGGAGGAAGAAGATGAAGATGAAATGCTGCCGGCGATGGTGGAGGATGATAGAGATGAGGTCGAGCGTGTTGAACAGAAGGAAAGATGTGTACGAGCCGGGCTGGGAGGTACATGCCCTGTCACGAAGGCGGTTTCTTCGAGTATGGGGAGGAATGAGATTTGGGGTCTTGGGGTCCCTTCCATATCGTTTTGCGGGGATGCAATTGCCAGCTTTGGACGACGTTTCAAGAGATCACGAGCGTATGTTGAAAAGGTCCTGTTTGATGCGGCGTTGGTAGCATTACTCGCTAGGACAGCTGAGAACATGGACGGGGCAGTGGAGCAGGCATATATGGGGAGGTCCAACATATGCCCCAGTATACCTGGTAAAGCAGCGCTATACCATCGTTCAACTGGCCGCTCGAATCGGGGAAAATGACGTACCTCTCATCACTCAACCCACTCACAACAACCCTCCCCTCCTTCCCCGACTCCACATTTACCCCACCGCAAACCGCCTCCCACCTCCCCTTGGTTTCCATCACCTGCCCCTCAGAGACACATTTGACATCGGCTCGTGGGTCGGCGAATTGGCATACGGCTTGACCCCTTTCGAAACGGAGGATGTTTTGAGGGGCGAATGGTGATGCCGGGAATGGCCTGTGCGGTGATCAGCTATATATCCTTCAGCGTAAAAAGACATTCGTACCACGGTATGCAGTATCCCTTGTCGTCATGATTCAACGTTCCCCCGGGGGGCAGCATAGCAGCCAGGTACGAGAACTGGTCCCATCTAAAATCGAGTCTCAGACTGAGTATCAACTGAGAAAAAGTAAGACTTACCTGCCGTTGCAATTCTTGTCTCTCACCCGACGCCTGATGTCTAGCCACTTCTGGTCTTTGAAAACGAGCCACACCTCGTTCTCTGGCTCTGCCTCAACGCCGAAAGAGAAGGGTTGGACGAGGGTACCGCCAATTTCTGCGATCTGCGTATCCAGACCGACCAAAGGAGAAGTATCCCGAAGCCGGATAATGGTGGTATCACAATCGGGTTCAAAGACTATATGAATTTCGTGGCTGCCTTGCAAAGTCCAAGGATTCAGTAGGGGGATAAGGGATGAAGGAACGACTGTTCTTCCATGATATCAGTCTCTGTCCACTCTCTCTGACGGGAATACGACGTACAAGGCAAAATTACGCAGCTTGCTGGTATTCCCATCTCAACACCTCGTTGATTGACTCTGCCAATGACTTTTGCAGGATTTCTCGTGCACCGCAGACTGTATCTTGCATCGTACTGGATCCCAGAGAATTCAAGTTCTTGAAGAGTGATTTTAGGAGTATCGGTAAAGTATCCAGAGAGGAGGTATCCGAGTGGAATGTCGTCTCTTGCAAACTGGGGCAGGGTGGAGGGAAAGGATACCGCTGATGCTCGAGACTTTGGACAAGTCGATATTGTGTCTCAAGGCCGTCACGACCGAGTCTGTATCTCTTTGTTAGCTATCGTCAACGGGGTATGGCTGATGGCTGACCAATCAAGCTGTACAGCTCGGCTATGCATGTTGGCTCATAGGCCGCAGAAGGCAAAGCAGGTTGCGTCTGAGCGACAAGAGTCAGCGACGTTGCCTTCAGCGTCTCTTGGAAGCAAACTCTTACATGTGCACCATAACAAGCTTCTGATCGTCCCACGACGTCAAGAGCGTCGTCGTATACGACCGCCTCCGGACCTCTTACAGTCAAACAGAGTACGAGGTGATACCGTGGTGCGCCCACCGCTTGATGTGGAGGTGATCCAGTTAAAGCCATAGGTGTCACCGAGAACGTGTGGACGTGCTTCCCTTTCGGCGATATACGATCCTGAAACGAAAACAGGAAGAAGAAGTTGAAAGGCTGAAAGGTAAAACAAGAGGAACAAGACCGCCCTCTCTCCATATGTATACAAACCCCCACTCCCACACCCCTCTTCTATCAATTCTACACAACAAAAAGCCTCGCCTCGCCTCCCCTTTGCCGTACGCCGTTTCGTCGTTGTTGTTTTCCGGTCCTCCGGACGACACGACGGGATGGTCCCATCACCACGAGCCAAAACCACGAGCTCACCACGAGTTCCACCGGAGATGGACTTTATGGCATGAAGGGGGTCATGGGGGTTTGGGTGATCGTACGCCGATACTCTCTATGGATGACTCCTCCTCCCGGCCAGCCGCCATCCGCCATAGTCAAATTAGCAGTAGTAGAATGTCGCGGGGTAAAAGCCGAAATGCAAGCCTGCCAGAAAGAACCACACACCGTGTACCTCGTTTTGCGACACATTCGTATGAGGTGTTGTTGTTCCCTTGACGTTGTTCTGAGCTGTTGACACGGAAGAGAATGGGGCTGATGTCCGATGCTAATGTAGATCCCCGAGATGCATGCCTCCTGCAGACGACGTCATATCATCCTTTCTCCTTCGTTCCTCGGGGCATATATCAGTCTTATCGTCTTTTGGTAGGGTACTTTTGCATTTTGCATTGATTCTGATAATTGGGCAAAAGAAGCGGGCAAACGCGCTTTGAGACTAAATCTGATGAAGGGCCCTTCTTCTCTGACCGTTCTCTGTTCTCTTGCACGAATTGGCAGATTGACCATTCCCTCTTCAAGAGTTACTATACAAATATAGTGGGATTGACTTTCCTCACATGAACCCTCAACCAAAAGTCGGAAGATGGCTGGCAAAGTATGAAGAGTGACCCGAAACGGTAGCCCAAGAGGTGTATGCCGAGACACACTCTTTGAGGTATGGTAGCGAATAGGGAAGGGGGGCAGGGAGCAGGGTGGTGGCAGCAAGTTTGTATAGAACTAATTATAGAAATTAAACACAGAAACATACACCACCTACACCTCTATCAGCATCTCTTCTGTCTCTCCCAAAGAGACTCACCAAAATAACAATCCCATACGACTCCCCTAAATCCCCGGGCCGTTATTCGCAAACCTCTGATTCCACATACTCCTCAACTGCTCCGTCCTTGCCTTTTCCGCCGCCAACTCGTGCTCCAGCTGGCGGATCCTGGCGTCTTTGCCAGCGACGAGCTTGGCCATGATTTCTGCCTCTTCTTTCCGGCGGGCCCGATGTTTTTGTGCTGAGCGGCGGTTTATATCTCGACGGTCTACACGAGAATCAGTGCGAGACCGAGAGAAGAGAAGGAGACCTACGTTCGAGCTTTTCAGCTTGAGTAATCTCATCATCTTTCGCGGCTTGCCCTCTGGGTGCCCGTTTCCCCGCCGTCCTCGTCGGCCCCGATAGTATTCTAGGCATCTGCGGCAAGTCTGCCACTTCAGGCGAATGATACCCAGCCACCGGCGAATCCCCGTGTATATTTTGCGGAGAAACAGCCGCGCCATATCCCAACGGCGACCTCATCTCTGCCGCCGGACTGGGTAGTGCCGACAGAAGCGCATTATTATCCAGACTGATATCCCCCAATCCTAAATCACCCATATGTGAGATGGACGGCCGTCTCGAGCTTTCGTCGTCCGTGTCGATATCCGTCGTCGAGTATAGGTCTGAATTTTCGCAGGACGATGCTACAGATGTGCTCGAGTAGGAGGTTTGACGATAGCCAGGGTGACGTTGGTCGTGTGGGAGTATGGTGGGGCCGAATACTGGAGGAGAGGAGGAGCGGGGGCTGAGGGCCATATCGTCTTGTTCCGTCTTTTGGGATAGTGACTGATCTCGCAGCTGATCCTCCCGTCAGCCCATCCCTACAGAGTATGGGAGAAGACTTACAAAACTCCACCCTGACTCATCTGGCACATCCTGCGTCTGCAACAGCCCAATCATCCCGTCGTCCCCTCCATGGACCCCCAAGTCTTTACTGATCCGTCGCTCAAAGCTGTTGGCGGGAGCCAGCTGTCTCCCGGCAGACAAGTGGCTCGGCCACCCCTGGGAGGAGGATTGGCTGAGGGAGAGGGTATGGTCGGGTGGGGGGTTGCGGGCGGAAGAGCGGGTGACGCGGGTGGGTCTGCGGTCGTCGGGGACGATGGTGGCTGCCGAGTTGAACCTGCGGGGGTGAGCGGGGCAGGGGGCGGCGGGGGGTGCTCACGAGTCGGCCGTGCTGCGGGTGAGGGGGGTGGGCATATCTCTGCCGGGATGGGGAGGAAAAGAAATCAAAACAAGTCAGAGATGCAGATACAACCGGTTGACGTCAACTCATTTCACGACGCGACGCGTTCAGTGCTCGCTTATGTAATGCACCAGAGGCGGCGATGTCCGTAGCTGTCCAGGCCTTGGAGGAGAATTTTCGATCAGGCACTCTGTTTGTCCTGCTTTTGCCGGTGACATCTCTCGCTTCTCTCTTTTCTAATAGATCTCTTTCCAAGATCTCCTTTATTTGTTGACAAATGGAGCAGAGCAAATGAGCGACCAAAAGTATCGGTAGATCTGAACAGGTTGCATATGGATGGATAGACTCCCGCCGGACCACATGGCGGCCGGCAGTAGCCAGCCAGTAAGAGATAGCAAAAAAACACAAGTTGTATGCATGTACCACCGGCACCTGGCCGCTGCCGGCGGAAAGTATGTAGAGCCCGAACCCCGAAGGAATGTCGTTTCATCTTGCAGCAGGATGTCACACAACCATTTGACTGCAGCCCGTCCAGCCGGTCCCTATGGTCCCTATACAATTCATCCGACAAAGTACAGAGATCTGTCTTCATAAGTAAGGAAATTGGCAGGCTCTTGCGTGTGCATTACTCAAGCGATGGATCTCATGAGGAGGCTTCGGGCTTAGGGAACACGTCTTCGGGCGGCTTGCTTCATCAGATAGATGGATGTCAAATGCAATGGTATGGTCGGCAGTATTCTGACGCATGTGACCCAAGACTTTTGCTACGAAAGAAGGTCAAACATCAACTGTACTAAAGTACAAGGAGGAGCACGATTATTTTATCTCGCTTCTTGAGCGGCACGGAAAAACAGATCCGAGATAAACCCACGGCCCCGATGGATGATGTCAGACCGGATCGGCACACAGTGCATGGCGGCCGACTCCTCGTTGTGCATGGAACCCAACAAATGGCCAGTACAGCGTTCGGCAGCCTCGGCGGGATAAAGAGAGAGGAGCAAAGGACAAGAATGCTCTTCCAAGCATGCACATGATGCCAACTGCGGTGGACGGGCACGAAGCCGCGAGGAGTCAGGTCATATCATCACTCAACTTTCGTCCGCCACATGCATTTCCATTTCCAGACCTTCTAGCCTCTCTCAGTCCCTATGGAAGAAGGCCAAGAAGGGACCAATCCCATTCCAAATTAGTCGCTACCACTCATTTCTCCATGCAACTCGAGATACGTATCTCAATATCTCAGATCTACACTTTTTGCGCCGCGCCAAAAATTCTTTTCTTTTTAATTTAGTTGCTTCCCGAATGGTCGGACAGCCGAGACATGAAGATGGTTTGTCTCATATCTTCACTCACCGAGGCAGATCAATGAGCGGTCACCGTGCACCGGGATCACCGGCAACTGCAAGCTGCAAGCTGCAAGGGTAATAAGGGTGCGATACTACAGAGTACAGAGTGCCGAGATGCGCGAGGTGGTAGATAGCATACAATATGGTCCCCTGCACCCTGGCCCCTGCCGGCCCCTGGTGGATGTTGTCGACGCTTTTAATGCAAGAAGATGAAAGAAGCCGCCTGATGATGGTCTAATAATTAGCCCATTCGCCGGTCGCCGGTGAAATTGTATATCCAACTGAACTTCGTCTTCCTTGGCCCGGGTACCTTTCGAGACAATTATTGCCATGAATATGGGACTGCTGACTGATGACTGTTGACTCTTGATGATCAATACGCATTCATGCATTCGTTCATACATCTCAACCTATGGAGCTATGTATTCGACATTTGTCCGAACGGAGGATGAAGGTTTGGTGACTATCACCATACGTCCATAGTCTGTACTCGTACCACGTACTATATTCGACTAGAAGGTTCGACCCTCGTATGCATCCACTTCCCACATCCTTGTTCTACACCAGTCCAGAGCCCAGAGCATCTCGTCTGCGATTTTCATTGACAACAGAATCGACCAAGCATGTGACCTTTTGTCTTTTGTGAAGAGTACGACTTCTTTATTTCTTCATCCTTCCTCTGGAATCGAGGGGAAGCATGTGCACAGAGAGAGAACTAACGTTGATTCCAATTCTGGGGCCCAAGTTGATTCCAGAGAAGACCCCATCAGCTGCATCAGTTCATCAGCTGTATCAGCTGCAGATGCAGATGTCAGATGTCAAGTTGCAGCTTACGTTAACAACCCACAGGGAGCCAAGCTCGGCGGGGCAACGGGCGGCGGGCGGCGGGTGCCGGGTACCACTTCCTGCTACATCATGCCGTCAACCTCTTGTCAGACCTTCATATACACACAGACACTATGCAGTGGACACGACTACGTACATAGATATTACTCCCACACGCCCTACGCTATAAACCATCTTTCCCATTTTCATATCCGAGTAGCACCAAGTGGTGCCGTATAACGAGATAGGGTCCGATTCCCACAAAAGAGCTCCAATGGTGGTGTGTACCACGTACTAGCAGTATATGGGTGAATTGAAAAGCGATCAGACGGAACACGGGTGAAAGGCGGAAAGGCGAGAAACACGAGTCGCACGACGAGAAATGGAAGAAACCAAAGAAAGAGAGTCGTACGTGGCAACGTAACCCCCTTCGCCACGGCCCACAGCCCGAACAAAGGTCTATATCCACGCCCCCAGCGAGCTTCCCATGAAATATTCCCATGAATTGGTACACTTACAAACTCTTGGGGTAGGGGATTGGGGAAATACCTCTTTTCCGTCTTTCCGTCTTTCCGCCTTACTCTTTTCCGCTCTTTTACTTGTTGCCATTTTCTTAGCATCAGCCACTGCCGCCGCTATCTCTGGGGCCTCTGGCCTCTGGCCTCTGCGCTCTGCGGTATCTGCCTCCGGATCCTCTGGTAATCGGTACGTAAAGCCACATTTTTTGACAAATATCCTCCTCGGGCTAGTCGGGCTCGCTAATTGTTCTCTCGTATATCTCGTACATTCTGTACGTCTGACGTTTGAAGGTTGAACGTTGATTTCTAAAATCTGTGCCGGTCTGCCGAGAACCCTGCCGGGGCTCTCCTTTCGGGGCTGCCGGTCTTCCGGTCCTCAACATCTTCATATGTAGAGCCTGCAAATGTGCCAGAGAGTGTGGAGGTTTGATCTGCTTTTGATGCATCCAGCTTATCGCTTTTGAATGCTCAGTACCCAGCAGTGTTCAAGAGCTCAAGTGCTCAGTACTGGTTGCTCGATCAAACTTGCGCGTCTCTTTCCTTCCTTTCGGGCTCCCGAGGTGTACTCGAGTACATCTCCAGCTCTCTGCATGAATCCCGGCTCCATAAACCCACACGAGTTCACAAATTCACACAAGACTTCATAGCAGTCATCAAAATCGAAAATCAGAGCAAGACCGACTTGGCTCCTTCCCCTCGTGGTCTGAAGCTGGTCCGCGAGGCCTTCGTGTTCAATCGTTGAACTGTTGGCTGACGGAACATCAAGCTCCCGTCGGATAGTACTCTATGCACGTGCTTGATACTTGGCCCCACAAGAACATGTGATCATGAGAGGACGAACGTCGATAGTTCGGACCATCTCGCTCGCCAGCACTGCCACAGCCTCTCACATACCCACGGCCCCACATGTCAGGCTAATCCATCATGCCTGATCACCCTTGTGCCGCTTGCGCTTGTACACTTGTCTTATACACTTACACACCTGCGCAGGCGCTTGCACACTTGTCTTGTCCTTGTCTTGTACGCTTGTACATGCACCATTAGCAAGCAGAACGTGAAGGTTGATTCGTTTGGAGGACTCTTGTGGTCGTGGTTCTTGGTTCTTCGGGAGGTAAGAGGTAAGTGGTCTGGATTTGCCTAGAAAGCCTAGAAGGGCCGGAAAGTGTGGAAAGTGTGGAACCTCTTAGGACTAGAAAGACCAGAAGGGCGCTCGGACGTCATAGAACCATGAAACCATTGGAACGACGTGGACTGACGAACTGGCATTGTGGCTGGAACGGACGATCTTGACTACCGGGCCCCAGGCTAGACTTCAGCCGTACGTGCAGACAAGACAAGACAAGACGAACAAAAAAGACTCCGAAGGATTATCCATAGAGCCGGACCGAGCCGAGAGTTCCACATGCAAGAAAGCCGACAAGCAAGCAATAAAGACATACGGCTTGTCAAAGTGGCTATGCTAGATCTCTTATCATTCCTCTGCCCAGCGCCAGCGCCAAGCTAATCAAGCTGCATTCATGCACCAAGAGCACGTCAAGCCTCTCTGCCTGTAGGCTGTAGGGCTGTGGGGCCTCTTGCAGCACGTGCGATGCGATGCCATAGCAATCGAAAACTATACATCATTGATAAGGGATTAAGGATTAATGGGAGATGGGAGATAAGGAAGGAGCCGGAAGAGATTGCATAATGCACAAGACTTTTGGGATCTGCGAAAGAGGCGAGAGGTGAGAGGCGAAAAGGCGAGGAGGCGAGGAGGCGAGACGCGACGGGGGCCGTCCCGGGTGCAGCTGTACACTACAGAGTACAGATAATTGCACGGCGCAGAGTACTCGTAATCTAAGCATGTACTCGCAATTCTCGGCTTGTGATTAACCCAGCGGAATGCGAATGACAGCAAAATGACAGAGAAGATAATTCCGACCCGAGACTTGGCAGCAATAGGCGAGCGGGGAATTTTGTTGACAAGTAAAGAAGGCGAGATCTCGTACAAAGGCGCAGAGCGGGGATGGCTTGAGACATGCCGGCAGAGATGCCAGATCTCTTGATTAAGCGGGATGGAAGCTTGGCGCCGGTTGCCGAGTGCCGCGCAGGGGATTAAACAAACAGAGTCTGTGCGATCTCGAGGGAAAGGGATCGAGATCGGCACTGTTCCTGAGATTGGCCGGCGCAGAGGTCATGGCGGCCGTGCACATGTTAAAACGGGCTCGCTGGTTTTTCCTTTCTCCATCTCGCCATGTCTGCCCCCTCGCCCCCCGACTCGCCGCGCTCGCTGCCCATAACGCCCCAGGACGAGCACACCGCCATGATCCTGCCCCCGTCCCGCACCACAGCCAAGGCCCCCGCCTTCATCGCCCTCCCAGCCCCGTCCCCCGCCTTCAACACCTTCGTCTTTCCCCCAACCACCTCGCCCCCGGCCAGGTCTACTCCCTCCCTCGACGCCCTCCCCAACGAGGAGTTCGTCTTTGGCAACTGTCCCGCCCAGCCCTTCCTCGGCACCCCCGTCGCAGAGCAGGGCCCCTTCGAGTACCCAGACCTCGTCGGCAGCAGCAGCCCCACCTACAGCTCCCCTCGCAGCTCGTCTTTCCGCACGCGCCGGCCGCTGTCCATCTCTTCTCAGAACTCCCTGCACTCTGAGCCTGTATCGCCCCCCAAGACGCGCAGGGGCAGCACAAATTCTAGCATCGCCACTCTGCCCACGGCCTGGCGCCCGTCCATTGTGCACTCTGCCACGGTCGAGGGGACGGTGCCAGTCAGCGCCGATACCACCCCCTGCCACACGCCCCTCCCGCCCCCTCTGGCACTTCCCAGACAACGCACGGCAGCATTCATGTACCAACAAAAAGCCATGCCTGCCCCCATCCCGCCCTCTCTCCTCGCGCGCCGTGGCTCGCTCCCCGCCGCGCAGCTTTTTGGTCTGCCCCTCCACGACCTGCAAAACAGGTCCAAGAGCGTCAACCATGGGCCGGTCATGACTGCCGCATCGCTGTATCAGCGGCGGCAGAGCGTCGTCTCTGACTCTGAGGTCAACCCGCCGCTCCAAGTCGTACCTTTACCCACGTTCAATCCCGAGCGACGCCCTTCCCTCCCTGCCATCTCACCATCCCTCGCCTTTCCTCCACGTATCACCAAAGTCTCCCGCTCCACCTCCATCTCCCACGCTCCCCGTCGACCGCTGTCATCCCTCCTATCCGCATCCCCGAGAACGCGGCAGCACCACCACCTCCCACCGCCTCTTGGTATTCCGCCTTCTCCCCGATCATCGTCGCATGGGCGACTGTCGTCGACGACTTCGAGCGATGAAGACGAGCCGGAGACGCCTTTACCGCGAGTTCCTCGGCTGGACCAGCCGGCTGTCGTAGAGCTCTGGGGAGGAGAGGAAGAAGTGGAGAGCCCGGTGGTGGCCATGTCTATGGAAGGTGAGGTGAAAAAGGCGCTTCCTGACCCTATGCCGGTGATTGGAGGGGATGAGGTGGCACTGCTCGAAACGCCCGGGCTGGAAACGGTATTAGAGAGACCGCCTCTGGAGACTATTGAGAGTGGGGATAGTGTTGAGACGGTCAGGGAGTGAGCGTCAGTCTGCTTGTAAGATTCGAGTGCATTCAATATGTGAGTACACGTGATGGTCATGCGAGTTTTCCGCTGACTTTCCACAGCTAGAGCCGGCGTCATAAGAACGAGTCGAAGCCCATCAGAGGAGACCCATCTGGTAAGCTTACCCCTGCCCTCACACACCACACCCGCTTATCAGTTTTTAGCTCTACATCTGTATCTGTTGTTATCATTAGTCCCACCTATCCCTGTCCCCACTACATCAACATATAATTTTTCACAATTATCCCTCTTAATCCTTGTATCCTTTGGTTTTACGAAAATTTATGCTTTCCATCTTACGTCCTAATGCCTTGCTGTCACGACCTAGCTGGGACGCACGTGTGATACTTGCTCTCGCGCAAGTTGTCCCTTTTTTCGGGCTCTTTGGTCACTCCAATCTACTGGGTTTAGGGTTTCATCATTTTCATGGTTGTGAGATACACACTCTTCATCTAAAAAATGCATTTTCTCTCTAGTCACGTTCGAAATTCCTGTATAAGCCAATCAAACACTTGCTTTGTAACCTGCGTCGCCAGAGATCCCAAGTGACCATGACTCCCCCGCCTACTCTTATTGTCTGACCGGGCACGACGCCCCCTTGACCGGCCCTTACTCCTCCCCCTTGCAGAACGGTCTCTTCCCCGTGACCTTCACCTATCGTCCCGCAGACTATACTCTCCTGAGCTCGTACCATATGCTCCACCGCCTCCCAACTCGTACGCCTCGTCCTCCGCCCTCTTCCTCCTCTCTTCCGCCCTGCTCGTACGCGCTTCCGCCCGCTTCAACGCTTTAAGTAGGTCCTTATTCGCCAGCGCCTGCGACCTGGCCGTGTCCGTCATCGACGCCTGATCCGTCTTCTTTTGCTCCAACTCGTGCTCTAGCTCCTCCAGCTGGGATTGCAACTGCACTTTGGCATTCTTCACCCCATCCAGCCGTTCATGCAGCAAGTCAAAGCTCACCTCCGAAACGCTTATCGCAGCCATCTTTTGGGAATAGTTTGTCCGCCGAGCTTCACTGATCCCAAACTTGACCTCATTATAGAGCGTCCGGAAGTTTTCGACGGCGAGGGAGGATGCTTGATGTATCGAATTCAACCTTTTCGTCGAACTCTCACTCCCTCCTTTCAGAGCCCTAATACTGTTTCTCACACCCTCCAAATGGCCCAAGTACTGTTCCGCATCACCTAGGTTGCTCCCCGCTGCCGACAAGTTAATCTCGGTCTCCGTATCGGGCTGGTCCAGCGTCAAGCGGTGGTTCCGGAGTTTTTCATGCGCCTCTTGTACGACCTTGGTCGCTTGGGTACAGTGCCCGTCCAGCTCTGCTATCCGACTTTTCAGCTCGGTGATAGCGTGTGACTCAACATTGAGCCTCTGCCAACTCCGCCTATACGCCGCACGGGATTGCCAGATTTCATACCGCTCCAGACTTTCTGCCCGGGCGTCGGCGTTGGCGTCGATGAACGCCTCGACGGAAGCGCCGTTGCGGAGGAGTACTTCGGCGTCGAGGTTGATGTCGGGGTGGTCCCAAGGGAGGATGGACATGGCGTAGGGGTGTTTGTCGGTCAGTGAGATGGGGGTGGTGGCGACGTCGGTCAGCGGGTTGATGGAGTGGTAACCTTCGTCGCACGTGGATGGTGAGAATCCGTCCTATTTCCTTCATCAGTCTCTGGTGCCATACAATAGAAGAGTACTTACGGTACGTTTACAAGCGCTATGCCATACTTGCTTGTCATCCTCCACCGTTCGACAGACATACACGTCGGTCAACAACAGCTCTTCAGGCGTATACTCCATCCTCGGCCTCAACTCCAGTCGATAAGAATGGTCCGTCATAGTTCTCACCACCATCCAAACTCTCTCGTCCTTCGAGTTTGGCGAAGGCAAACGCGAAACAGGGCGCTCCGTCACCCCCTGTCTTCGGCTTCTCCGCCCCGGACTGTCGTCCGAGGCAGAGTTGTCACCCGAGTTGGCTCGGGAACGGTGGGGTCGGGGAGCAGAGCCAGAACCGCTCGGGGTTCCGCTGCCGCTCTGCCAGTGGGGGTGCAGCATGTCGCTGGGGCTGTATGGGGATGCCAGAGGGGCCGCGGCAGAGTATTTTCGTGGGGGGAAGGTGGAGATGCTCGGGCGGCTCGCGTAGGCGCCGGATGAGTTGCTGTCCATCGTGAAGAATAACGCTGAGAAGAGGGGATAGAATCAGTTGCCGAGCGTTTCTCAGCGGGGTGTTTATATACGTTGCAAGACCACTTGGACTGCGTGGGAGATCAAGAGCATCCGCAGTCCTTTATTCGTCAAATTGAGGTTTGGGTAGGAGCTACATGGTTTCAGCTCCAGCCCAATCAGCGATTTGCTCATTTTTACTTTGTCGACTTCCACCCAGTCAAAGCACTGCCCCCCTGAACTTTGTCCTCCGGAGCGACTTCCTTTTCAACCCGAACCTACCTCCAGCGAGAACCATTCCGACCTGCTCCTTTGTCTGACGCTCTGATTTGCTTGGAGGAGTTATTCACCTGACTACAGTTGTGCCACGAATGGCAAGGCTTGTGGGTTTTATCGGACAGACATCCTTTTGCTATTCCGGCGGTGGGGAGACGAAGGCCGGTAGATTGCTCAATATGAATGGACGATCGGTGGTCATCCACCATGATCAGCAGTATCGCAGGGCGAAGTTGTGGGATGTGCAGTGGTCGTGTGAGGACATGCGAGTGCAAGGTCCGACCGCTGGTGAGTATGACCGAGGGGATAGTGGGTTGGTTGGGGCTAATTGTGGTCAGCTGGGGTTCGGTGGCGTTTGAAAGAGCTCACTTGTATTTCGAAATGATCAAAGAGGTCCATTGTCGCTCGCTCATATGCCCGAACCTCAAAATATGCTGACTGCTTGTGCGTAATAGTACTGTGGCGCTGCCGAGAATTGTTGAGAGGTGATGGGATGAGTTGTCGACTTGCGTGCCCCCGCTGCTGCCCGCTATATTCGTTCAAAACGAACTGGATCACTATACCAGCTGCATGGTAGCAAGTTCTCCTGCAATGCACGAGTTGAAGAGCTGAGAGAGATAAGGGGAGTTGTGGTTTTCACTGAATACTGCTGGGAGTCAAAAGATTGCAAAAGTGATATAGGCGAGAAAAGAGGCGAGATGGGGAAGATACCGGAGATGGAATGAACTGGAGTCTGGATGTGATTGGGAGTTTAGGACGGAAGCAAATGCGGCACTGATCATGGTTTAGACTTTAGAGTCAGACGTCTAAAATAATTAGCCCAAGTTGAGCGGCGCTTGTTGGTGCAGTGCACCATAGTGGCATGGCTATGGGTGGTGGCCGGTGGTGGGGGACGCGGTGGGGGGTGGTGGGCGGTGGCTGGTGCCATGTCTCACTACTACTGTTCCCTCCAGGATCTTCAAGCCTATTGGGCCCCCTCCTGGGCTTCCTACAACAAGAGGCATACAGGCAGAGAGTGCGTACTCTAAGCTCATTTGCAAAAGGCGCTGGCTGATAAGAACTCGTCGAACTCGGCCCAGTCTCACCAAGCGAAGCGCTGAAAGCGCGGGAAGCGACCGGTTGATTAGGTGGTGGACTTCTCCGAGATGGAATAATTGACCGTGTTCCCCGAGAGAGATAACGGGAACAGCCGTTATGGCCCATGGGTCATGAGTATCTCGGGCCAAAGTCAGCATTTGGACCCCGCACAGCGCTGGGCGAATGAGAATCACTGCATCCTTATCGCTCCAGCCGGCATGCGGCTATCAGTCTCTATATATTCAACCTCCAAGCCTCTCTCCCCTCCTCATCCCATTTATCTATCACCACACCCGCAATGTCTGAAAAGCACATCGACGACGAAAAGGACATCGGCTTCAACGCCGACGTCTCAGTACTCCCCGCCGGGACCTCCAAAGAAGACGGCCAGGCCCACCACGTTCAGCTGCACGATGTCGACGAAGCCGCGGCTTTCGTCGCAGGATGGAAGGGAGAGGTCACAGAGGAGATGAGTGCAAAGATCAGAAGAAAGTGTGACTTGCACTTGCTGCCATTGATGTGAGTCCTCGTCGCGTGATGAGTACGGGGCTGATGGGTATCAGGATGTTATTGTACTTTGTCCAGTTTACAGACAAGACGACCCTCGGAAGCAGTTCCATCCTGGGAATCAGGACCGATACCAATCTTTCACAAGCCCAGTACAAGTGTGTAAAAAATCTATCATTCCTCTGGACGATACTGACGGCGCACAACAGCTGGCTCGGTACAATCTTCTACCTCTCCTACCTCATCTTTGAATGGCCCCAATCTGTCTTTCTCCAAAAGTTCCCACCCGGCAAATGGATGGCCTGCAACATTCTGGTTTGGGCCGTGTACGCCCCTTCGATATCTCCTTGAATATAGCTGACATCTCAACTAGGGCTCTTTGCTGCCATGCTGCTTGTAAAAACTTTGCTGGTCTTTTCGTTTGCCGATTCTTCCTCGGCGTCTGCGAAGGTAGTATCACCGCCGGTTTCCTTATCTTGGTGAGTCCCACCCTAACGTCCAGAAACATCGCTGATCATCTACAGACGAGCATGTTCTACACTCAGGAAGAAGCCACCCAGAGAGTCGGCTATGTGCGTCCCCTTTCTCCCCTCCCTGACGCCCGATGCTGACGCCATCACAGTGGTTCCTCATGAACGGTACCGCCCAGGTCTTCAACGGTATCGTGTCTTTCGGCGTCTTGCACGTCAACCCCGACATCATCTCCCCCTGGAAAGTCTACATGCTCATCACCGGCATCATGACCTTGGCCGTCGGCGTCTCCTTCTGGTTCTTCATCCCCAACAACCCCATGACTGCCTACTTCCTCACCAAGGAGGAAAAGATCATTGCTATCGAGCGTCTGAGGGGAAAGAGTACGGGTATTGAGAACAAGACCTGGAAGCACGAGCAATTCATGGAAACGATGAAGGACTGGAAGCCTTGGGCCTTTACCATCTACGCTGCGAGTAACAATGTTGCCAACTCGTTGACCAACCAAAACAGCTTGATCATCAGTACGTCTCCCCTCTCACCCACGTCTTTCCGTACTCACAAAAAGTAGATTCATTCGGCTTTACTACTTCCCAAACGACCCTCCTCGGCTGTGTCAGCGGTGTCATTGAAATCCTCACTATCTACTCCTCCGTGCTCGTCATCAAGAAATGGAGAAACGCCCGAGGGTATGTCGGCGCCTTCTACTCTATTCCCAACATCATCTCGGGCGTTCTCATGGTCGCGCTGCCGTGGTCGTGTAAAGGCGGGCTGCTGTTTGCCATGTACCTCGGTGGTGTGGGTACCCCCGGATTCGTTCTTTCCCTCTCATGGTGCTCTACGACCAATACGGGACATACCAAGAAGGCCACTGCCAATGCCATGTTGCTCATTGGTTATTGTGAGTTTTATGCCTTTCTTCAGTCCTCGGAGGCAAGCTGACAGGCTTGTAGGTCTCGGTAACCTCCTCTCTCCCCAGATGTGGCAAGCGTAAGCCCCCATTCCTCCCTTTATGCCACCAAACTAACACTTATTGCAGCAAATACTCTCCCCGCTACTACCTCCCCTGGGGCATTATCCTCGGTACCTACGTGATCAACCCCTTCATCCTCCTCTCCATTCGCTACTTTCTCAACCGCGAAAACAAGCGCCGAGACCGATTGGTTGAGACGGGCCAGCTGGAGACTGAGAAGTTTGTGGATGAGCATGGGGATGAGATTGACCCGACATTCTTGGATATGACTGATGTAAGTTCATTTCCGGTCGGACAGCTTGTTGGATGGGAGCTGATGAGCGGTATAGCACAAGAACTTGTCTTTCCGATACCCTCTGTAGAGTGGGACGTTCTTTCGTGAATCGTCGCCTTATCGTGTTCGTCGTTGTTGTTGGAGACTTAGAAGACTTGCTCCATGTTTTTCGATATTTGTCTTTCTTTCGCCAATCATTAAGTTGTGAGATATGTTGGTGATTTGCGCCGTTGTGCTACGTTGACTTGGGTTGTACAAGGTTTGGTACACAGTTGTAGGTTTTATATAAGTACTTCAGAATTATGAATGATCTCTCGGATTCGAACCGTCTTTGGGGTTTGTGGAATGATATATCTTTGAAATGCAAAGTGTGGCTTATACGCTCTGCGCTCGATTTTGATGACGTCAGTTGGTTTCCCCGGAAAGTGCTGTAAGAAACAATGCATGACGATTACACAAGACAGCCTGAGCAAAGAGAGACGCTCCGTTAGCGTTATCGACAAGGGTGACAGCAAAGTCACCGCAACAAACACCGGCCGCCAATGTCGTGTTCAAAGTGTGTTTACGAGACATAGGCGGTGTTTCAACAGGTCAACATCGACGGCCATAGCCTCCTCAAAGTACCGCGTCCCGTCTGATCCGCGAAGTCAACTAGGAGAGCGCTCGGTTAGTACCAGGGTGGGGGACCACCTGGGAATCCCGGGTGCCGTCGTTTTTGCCTTTTTGCTCTCTCTAACTTCGGGGGGGTCACGGGCAACTTGCTCGCTTTCTGGCACAATCAAGTAGCCATATTCGACTGGCAGTCGGGAGATGTTACTGATAATCTGCATCAATTGACCCTTCGCAAAATATATAGACAAAGACCCCAGGTCACTAATAGTCAGGACCTTGAGGAGAGAGAGAGAAAAATACGAAAAAAGTGAGAAACCGACTATGATATGCTGAGGAATAAATGTCTATCAAGAGGAACATCTTATTCAAGCACGAAAAAAAATACGAGCAAACGATCATATACACATAGAGGAAAAAGAAACGACAACTCGGAACAACACCCTATACACGTCATGACCCAATTCCAGACATCCTTCTATCTTTTCGCTTTCACTTCACTTTTCCTCGCTTCCTTGGCAGCGAGACTTCCGCTAGAGGCACTGCGCTTGGCAGCCTTCTCTCGCATACGCAGAGTGAGAAGTTCGGCCCAAAGTGGGTTGGCGGGGATCTTGCCGATGAGGCCCTGGAGGGTTTCCATCCTAAAGTCCATCAGCTGACTGCGCTGCAGTGATCAGAAAAGAAGACTCACCATCCTTCTTTGGCCATGTCCGTGTCTGCCATGAATACAATAGCTTCTCCATCCTGGAATAGCATTTCAAAGCTCCTCGGTCTCTGACCAAAGCCACCATCTTCGTCGTAGTCACCTCGTCTAGTAGCGACCGTATTGGGAGACCCGCAAGTGGCAGTGTTGAGATCGGTGATGGACACGGCTTGACGAAGGTTGATTTTGGCAACCTGCTTCTTGGTCACTTCATTGATAGCAATAAGGTTACCACCGAGAATCTTGAACAGTCGCCTCTTGGGGTGCTATAGATGCGTGAGCTGTGTTCGCGCAGTCATAACAATTACTCACGCTACAATCACCGCCATCCTGAGTCAAGATACCCTCAAAGTACTCGTGTTCATGCCAAGCATGATACCGCAGCCCTCTCAGACAGTCATCGATGCACTGAGGTAGCTCATCGGGCATCAATCCGGGGATGGGCGGTAGTCTGAAGACTTGGAGCGTGATCTTGGCCAAAGCCTTCCTCGAACTTCCATCTGAAGAGCTGGATGGCGCCGACGACAACGACGCCGTCGGGTCGCCCTTGAACATGCTAAACATCGGGTACCGAATTTCGAGCACCCTCGCTTCGCAGTTCTTGGCGATAGTCTTGAACTGGATATGCGTCTTGGCTATGGTGGACACATTCCCGTTGCCTTCGGGCAGGTAGTTGGCGATGGTATCCTTCTTGGGCGCAGCAGGCTGAGGCGGCGCAAGAGTCGCTTTGACGGGGGTAGAGGCGCGCTCCTTTCCAGCTTTACCGACCATAGCTGCAGGACCCTTTGGTTTCCGGGGAGAAGCAAAGAGGTTTCGGAAATGCGAGTCTTTCTTGGGGGCGGAAGCAGAGGTTATAGGTCTTGAGATGGCAGGGGCGGGATTGTTCTTGTCGTGGATGAGTTTGAGGATATGAGGGTCTCGGCGGATGTCGACAGATAGCGAGAACTCAAAGTTGGGGTGTTCAACCCTATGACCGTGTCAGCGCCGTACAGGTATGCGGCGTATAACTCACAAGCTGAACTCCTGGTTGACTTTTGCACCCTCGCCGAGCTCAGTGAATGGCGTCCGGATATAATCAATGCTATTGTCCAGCGTCACACAGAACATAGTCTTTTTGCCCTCCCCGTTGGAAATGGGGAATTGAAGACCTTCAATACCGAGAACCTTGACAAAGACGGTTGCGGAGGCGGGGTTTTGAGAGAGCACACGAGCCTGGATTTCCTTGATTTTTGCAGAGTGTTCGTGCTATACCCATGTTAGAAGCCGCCTCGATGTTTCAATCGCTCGACATACCAAATCAGAAGGGCGACGAAGAGCTTTCCAAGCCTTTCCACTATCGATATCTCCGGCCCTACTGTGCGCCACCTTGTCATTATAGCTTGCTCTCACCACAGGTCTTTCTCGGATCTTGTAACCGCGCTAACAATCATTAGTATACTCCAAGCATGTTGAAAGACCAAGACTCACGTCGGACCCAATATTCCCAACCTCCTCTCGGAACGAATCCAAAATAGACCTCTCATCATCATCAATGCCCAGAGTCAATCGGCCGCCTCTGATACCTCGGCCCGCTTTCACAGCAGGGCCATTCTTCAGCGCGCTAACAGGAGTGTTGCTCGTGCTGGCAGCAGCTGGAGGAGACGAAGCCTTTTGACGGAATTCACGAGCCTGAGCAACTTGTTCGCGGACGTCTCCCGTAGACATGCTCCTCCTCGACTTCTTGGACCCCTGGTAGACCATCGACACCCCGCTGACTTGTCTCTCTCTACCAAGCTCGTCTCGTCTCTTGGTGATCAATGCCTGCTCCTCTGCAGTGGGTCTATCGTCTCTTGCATCTTCCTTCTCCTTCTTGTCTGACGACGAGGACGAAGTAGAAGACGAAAACAAGGACGAGGGTGGTCGCACATTATTGCTGACCCTTCTCGGCGCGTCCTGCAGAGCCGTATCAAGCAGTCCATTAGGGTTCTTCAAGATCCCAGCCGGCTTTGCCTCCTTTGACGGCGTCCTCGGCGCAGGCGGCATCACATCCCCAATCGTCCCACTGACTTCTCTCTGCATCCCAGCCCCACCAGGCTTGCCAACCTCACTACTCTTCCTCCCATGCTCCCTTCTGACCAGCGAAACAATCTTGTCCAACGCGCTCTTCGCCTCGGCCCCGAATTCTTCGCTCTGCTTGAATACTTCTTGGGCAGACTGGGTTTGAGATCGCTGACGCAGCTGGGGGCGCTCGACGATGGTGGGAGTGCCGGGGTTGGAGGTGGTTGTCTGCTTGGGAACCGACTGAGGGGTGGAGGGGGTGCGCATGCGGGAGAGGATCTCCGACTTGGGGCGGACCTTGTTGGGGGTAGAGGGAAGAGGGGGTAACTCGGGAGGAGGCGCAGGTAGATCTTTATCCGTGTTGCCCTCCACGCCAAAGTCGGAGATACTCGTCTTCTCCATCCCCTTGGCGAGAGCATCAAGCTCGGCCCCAGAACCCATACTGACGGGCCGACGGCTCAAAGAACCATCTGCCAACCTCTGCTGAATCGTCTCGCGAATCATCTCTCGCGAGATTCTTTGCCTGATGCGATTGGTAGTCGAATCGTGCGTAGTCTTGGGCTGGCGGGGGGAGGTGGAAGCGTGAGAGGTGGGGGAAGCAGGGAAGGATGAAGCAGGAGAGGCAGGCATCGAGTGACGGTTGAGTGAAGTCGTAGACGTTGCCTGGGGAATCCCAAGCGGAGCCTTCTTCTTTTCCTGCACCTTTTCCTTCTCTTCCGGTTTCACGACGGGTTTCGCCTCCTCTCGGATGATCTTGGGCTCCACAATCTTCTTCGTCGACCCAACGGTCCCAAAATCAATACTGCCCAGCCCAAAGTCAAAGTCCGGCAGCCTATGCGGACTTTCAGCTTCCTTACTGTCACCCATACTGCGCGGGGGCGTGAGAGGAGGGCCTTCGGTGATCTGGAGTCTACTAGACTCGGGAGAGGTTGGACGAGAGGATACGGGCTCGGACGCTGATTCGGAGCCTGATTCGGAAGTAGGGGCAGGCGCCTGCTCAAAGGCAGAGGTAGCCTGGAAGAAGGGCGAAGTCTTGTCGATGCTGGGAAGAGTCATAGCACCAAGCAAGTTCTACAAACACGTCAGCTTGGATACATCACTTGTTGCAAGATACGCACCTTGTTCTCGAGGGGCTCTTCCACAATTTCATTCTTTGACATGGAAACCGGGCTCGGGAGACCAATAGGGGCTGGAGCAGGTGCAGGCGCCTTTGGCAACTTTCTCTCCGGCACCTCATCCTCCTTTTCAAACACTGCCTGAGCAACAGGCTGGGGACTGGGAGGCCCCGCCGTCGGTCGGCCGGGCATACCCAATCCAAGCCCCCTTGTCGCCATCATCCTCGCAGCCAAGACTCGTTCTTTATGACTCGTCCTACCCAGGGGAACACCGTCCTCCTCGCGCTCCTCGCCTTCGGGGTTGAGAGTAGCGGTAGCAGTTTGTATAGTGAGGAATGGGTCGGGGAAAGGACTGGTTTGGTGCGCGTGAGGCTCGGGGGCTGGAGCGGGGGCGGGGGCGGGGGCGGATTTCGCTTTCGGAGTCGTATGCGAAGGAGTAACGGACGCAAAGGGATCATTGTAGTCGTGATAGAACGAAGGCGAAGTAGGCGGGATGGACAAGCTAGGTTTGGACGCGTCGGCGTTGAGCAACATCCCGTGGCCCCCATCTCTCGGCAGACCGGGCTGTTCGAATCTGCCAACGTCCAGCCTGTGCTGATGCGCTTCCGAAGATCGCTCAGCATGGTGGGTACGGCCATAAGGAATACCCGCGTCGTCTACTTCTGGGTAAACCTCATGGGAAGCAAACAGGGGCGAGCCGTTGACAGACACGCCGAGGGAAGGTGTGGCCAGATAAGGACGGTCCGAGTCGTCTGTTTGGGAGTTCAAGTCGAGATAGGACGACTCGAGAGGTAGCTCGTACCCGTCTTGGTCGGAAAAGGCGGGAGCGTCCATCTCTGGAGGGGAAAAGAGCCCTTCCTCAACAAGGGTATCCATGAAATCGGCCGTAGACGACTCGATTCCGTCGTGCCCTTCATCACTGGGCTCGATTTGTTCGTTGAGCAAGTTGTCGAGACTATTCTCCCTATTTTCATCCTCCCAGTCTGCCTCATCGCCCATTCCCGCATCCACATCAAAGCTCCCATCCATACTGGGCTCGGCGCTGACGACTTCATATTCCTTGACGTCGGGAATAGCCTGGAAAGTGACAGACTTTTTGGAAGGACTGTCATACCCTTGCAAAGCATCGCGGGGACCACGCAAACGGCGAGAGGGAGTCATGGAGGATTTGTGAGGGGTAGGCGTAGGCGAAGCGTCAAAGGCAGCAGCGATATCGGCTGAGAGTTCTCTGCGCAGAGGTGAAGGACCGGCAGAGCCAGGCGAGACTGAAGCTCGAGCGCGTGGGGATGGGGTAGGAGACTGGCGGTAGACAGAACCAAGGGTGCCAGCAGCACCAGGAGATACGCGACGCTGTTTGCCGCCAGAGACTCTTCGGGGGGAGGGCGAGGAAAAGACATCATCCTTCTCGACAGGCAACTTGATCTTGGGAGAGGGCGTCTCGCCAGAGTTGGCTTGAGAGAGGCTGCTGGATGAGAGAGTAGTGGATGATGGTCGCTTGAAAGGCGACTGGCTGACATAGCTGCCTGTTTGAAGGCCCTTCAAGCCCATACTGGATCTCGGCACGCGCATAGAGTGTCGCACATCGGGGCTCTCATTCTCCTTGGACACCTTTCTTTCGACACCGGGAAAAGTCACTTTGGCCTTTTCTGCCGATACTTTGCGCTGTCCATTGACGGCGGCTCCTCCATTCGGGGATCTGCTTCCACTGCGCCTGGCCGGCGAGAGGCCGAGTCCTATGACCCCTCGCGGCGTAGATCCAACGCCTCTCGCACTGGGCGCCATCTCGCCCAGATTTCTCGTACTTCGTCGCTCATGGACGATCTTGTCTCCCGCGTCGTTTGGCTGGGGGCTTTTGAAGATGCTATTCTTCACGAGACTGTTGTTGGCGACGACTTTGAAGGACGAAGAGGTGCGCCTGGGCCCGTCGGACACTACTGGGGGCGAGGAGAGGCTGGCGCTGGAGTCGCGCTTGCTGATCTGGAGCGGGGACCAGCCTTTGGCGGAGGAGGAGATGATGGCGTTGCGGGCGGGGTCTTTGCGCGAGCGGGCGGCCGGCGGGGACATCGGGGCGGGCTGCAGGGGTGAGCGCGGGCTGGGTGGTGCTGACGTAACGTACTACTGGGGAGGGGGGATATACGTTACAGAAGACTCATGGGAGAACAGAACTGCAGCTTGTTTGCGTTGTTGACATTCTTGGCCACTGCTGTGTACCTTACGTAACCCATAAAAAGCCAGCCGCGTCAACAATGCCACGCAACACCGAAATGCCGGGCGGAGTGGCAGTCGCATCGCATGCAGTCGTCAGTTCTGTGCTCTATGCATGGCTCTCATAGTGTTGCTTATCCATATGCATGCTCGAAAACATCGCTTCTTGGTCCAGCACAACACCATGGGATCGTTCAAGGCGAGACACAGCAAAGTCAGCGGATGTGGCCGCCGCTGACTTGTTTGTCTGCTGCTGATCTCGTCAAGATCTCGTTATGGTGCGTTGGGGGAAGAAAGGATGCATGGCAAAAAGAAAAAAAGGAACGACGGCACCCGGGATTCCCAGGTGGTCACCCACCCTGGTACTAAGCGAGCGCTCTCCCAATTGACTTTGCGGTGCTTTGAGGAGGCGAAAGAGTGCACATGTGACGAGACTGACAATCAAGGGCTAGCTAAATAGCTGGCTGTAAGAGCTTCCTGACCTAAGCCACTTGTCGTTCTCATTCGTTCCAACACACCTTTGATGGAATGACTGTGAAACGATGTTGAGTCAACGACTCAATCAATGGGGTAGTGTGTGGAGCATGTAGTTAACTTTTCCAACATCCCATCCAAGTTGGTCTAATCGACTTGTATTAACACCGTTGGTGAAATGGTATCATGCAACTTTGCCATAGTTGCGGCAAGGGTTCGATTCCCTTACGGTGTATTTCTTTTTGGCCCTCCAACAGCCTTTTTTGCTTTCCTGACCATTATATGATCAGCAGACTATGCAGTATGGCTTACAAGACAAGACATTCTACTGCATGGACCGCATATACCAGCTTGTGCTTTTACTGTACGAGTAGAGTCTGAGCGCGCTGACGATGAGCGAGTAGATATTCCCAAATATGGTTCACTGCGGTAACCCCGCGTTGCATTGTACGAGACTGTACTGTATTGTCACATATACACACTCCACTCGTACCATATACCCCCTTTCAAATATACTTCTACATCTCCCCACAAGAACGCACTCCAAGATATTCCCAACGATACCCACTCGCCCACATCAATATCCATACACAAAGCGCCTCCAGCACTACCTCCCCCCATTAAGCATCGCCAACAACCCCGCGTTCCCAGGCTGTCTCGGTACCGGATGATGTACAGCACCCCCTTGTCCTTGCTGCTGTCCTTGCTGCTGCATACCGGGCAGCATCCCGTTCCCATTGCTATTCAACGGCACCTTGTTCGGCGTCGACTGACTCGAAACCTGCTGCTGCTGCTGCTGCTGTTGCTGTTGCTGCTGGGCAGGCAAAGCCTGGGGAACCACACCCCCCGGGAAAGGGTTCTGCCCATACCCATAAACAGGCTGAACATTCCCCGAACTTTGTCTATACATCCCCTGCTGCCCTGGCGCTCCCCCACCAGCGGGGAGGACGACAGGAGCTTGGGAAGGGTAATAGTACCCTTGACCGTGACCGTGACCTTGACCTTGACCTTGCGCTTGAGCTTGAGGCGGGGGAGGTGCAAAGTGCTGTTGTTGTTGCTGAGGAGGGGGCATAGCAGGATAGTAATTGACCCCAGGCGGGGTATACCCCGGTCCAGGGCCCAAACCGGGTGGGGCAGGCCCCATCCCAGGTGGCATCTGCCCTTGTACCGGGCGATAGCCCTGTCCCTGCGGGTGGTTCATATTCTGCTGCTGCATCGCCACGCCCAGTGGCACAGCGTGAGGCGGAGGACGGAATGGTTGGGGCGGCATGGGAACGGGCTGGGGGTGGGCGGCGTGGTGTTGGGGTATGTGCACGTGGGAAGGGAGGGCTTGGGCTTGGGCTTGGGCTTGGAAGGCGTGGGGAGGATTGGGGATGGGGTGTTGTTGGACGTAGCCCGAGGGCGCGACTTGCTGTTGCATATGAGGAGGCGGAGCTCTCTCAAACGTCTGGACTTGGGGCAGGCCAGGAGCATGGGCTGCGGCTTGCTGGGGTTGACTCGGAAAGTTGTCTCGGAGGACAGAGTCGTAGCTTGGTGGAGGATTTTGAGAGCGGGGGCTGTTACCGGGACCAGACCCATGATGGGCTGGCACTTGCGCTTGCGAGTGAGGCAAGGCTTGGGATGCGGCAGGCTGTGTCGCTGGTGCGCGGTTGTGAACAGGGGCGGAAGCCTGGCCGCCAGCACCAGGATGGCCTCTCTGATACGGCTGAGCAGGCTGAGGCGACCCAGCCGTGTGGCTAGACGCCGATGACCCTTCACCAAGACCTAATCCCGCAAAGCTAATCTCCAACAACGCTCTCGCCCGCGCCGCGCGGTCCTCTTCGGTCCCCTCGGCACCAAACGAAGAAGGATCAGATCCGGGGCGCGACTGAGCAATATGGTACGACGGAGAAACAGATGCCCTCGGAGATTGTGTGGGAGAATGGGCAGGCTGTGAGATGAGATGGAGCAGCTTGGACTGATGAGGCTGAGCCTGTGGCAAGTTGTGTCCCGCTGGGACGGGTGTAGCACCAACCGACTTTTGGTTCAACATGGCCAACAGGTGGTTCTGCGTCGCCTTGGGCTGCGGTTGCTGCTGATGCAGAGTCTGCGACTGCTGCTGGGCTGTCGGACGCTGCGCCTGCTGGTTTCTAGGGAGAAGCTTGGCGAGATCCGGCGCCGGTGTGCCAACGCCCGCGAGGAGGCGCGCAAGATCATCATCCTCCTTCCGGAACCTCCTCGCATCTTCCTGACTGTGATCGTCGTCACTCCTCCTCTGCCTTTCGAGCATCGCCTGTTCCTCCTCTTTCAGCACATCAAGCCCGCCAAAGAGACGTTCAAGCCCGGCATTATTGTCCGAGCCGACAGCATCTCCTTGTCTAGGCGCAAGGATCTCCTCTTCCTGTTTGTGGATGAATTTGGAAAACAGTTGGTCCAGGGCGGAGGATCCCCTGGAAGGAAAGTGTGAAGGGGCAGGAGAAGGGGTGTGGAGTTGGGGGGAAGCCGAGGGAGAGCCGGAAAAGGCGTCGAATCGGAAGGGCTTGATGTCTCTGTGAAAGTTGCCGGGTGAGGCGGTGGGTTGCGAGACAGGCGGTTTCTTTGGCCGAGGTTTGGGATGGGGGTTCAGGCCGTTCGCCTTCATCCAAGCCTTGAGGGGGCTACTTGTGTCAATAGAGCCCGAGACGATACACCGTATACTCACTTGACAAACGGAGTGACATTGTAAAATCGCTTGTTTGTATTCTTCTTCGTCTTCTTATTGCCAGACCACGTCGGAAGATCAGAGAGAGAGACCCATTCAATAGCCTAGTCATATGTGAGCGATACCCTTCGCAGGCCGAGAAGAAACATACCCCAATCTCATGCCTGGTCTGCGTCTCAAACACCGTTCCCTCGTCAATACCTCCCACAATAAACATGGTCACCTCTTGCGCATTGATGTGCGTCTGTATCCTATCTTCTGACTTGACCATCCCCGTCAGGTCATATCCAGTCTCTTCTTCCACCTGCCGCTGTCAGTGTCATTCCACGGCGCACGTCACACCTCACCTCTCGTACGGCGCACGCTTCCTCCGTCTCATTCAGATTGATCTTGCCTCTCGGAAAACTCCAGCCAGAGTTGCTCTTCCACCCACGCACCAGCACCACCTTGTCGCCCTGCTTGTTGAGCATGATGCCGCCGCAACACGGCACCATCCGCTTGTATGAGCGGTACTCGTCCCAGACGGAATCGTGGTCGATGGAGCCTGAGGATACCAGCCGCTTGTAGAGAGGAGAAGACTCGATGATGAGGCGGGTAAAGTGGCGCTGGGAAAGGGACGGCAGGAGGGGGTTCAGGGGGCGGAGGTAATCTTCGTAGAACCAATGTCTGCGGGACGATCAGTCGTCCAGGCCAGGTCATGGAAAGCCTCACTCACGCCTGCTCAGCCTGCCAGTACACCCTCAGCAGGTTCATCTCCTCCTTGGGCAAGTTGATGAGAAACCGCGCATTCAGATCCTCCATGATCTCATCAAAGGTCATATCGCGAAAGATGTTGTCCTCGTCGTCGATATCGCCGTCGTCCGGGATGGGAGTGTCGTCGGGGTCGGGGAAGGCGTGTGAGGGGAAGAGGGGGTTGTGGTACGGGCTGTGGGTGGCCATGGTGGGCAGACAGCGGGGGGGGTTGATGTATAAGATTTGACTTGTGGAGATGCGAAAGAGCGAGAGTCTGAAAACGCAGTAAGGGGCGCCCAAGGGTGTCCTTCGCGCATGCATCTACGACAACAAAGCCTCTGCATGCGTTCGCCACCCCCGTCCATACAGCGCATAAGCCGCGGAACGAGGCTGGGGCATGTAGCACACGTGCAGTGGACTGTTTACACCACACCCCGGGAAACCCAGTCGGCGAATGACCCTGCTGCTGCGGGGGCTATTTGTGCTTGTATCCGACAGCAGTGCCCGATATGGATACAGGATACAACGAGCTGCAACACATAGCGAAAAGCGTAGAGCGAAGATGGTCTGGATGGCCTCTCATGTATATATGGCTGGTGGGATGACGGGGCGGAGCTGCTCTTACATAAGCATACCAGGGAAAGATGAAGGTAGTAGGTGGTGGCTGTGGCATGTTGAACGACTCGTCCCATCGCTCAAAACAAACCTATGTAGACTTCGGATCTACCGCAAGCGTCCTCTTCACATAGACATTACGCACGTGAAGCTATAACCTCACCCCAAAGGGGCACTCGTGCCACAACTCACAGCTCCCAGTGGCTTTATCAGTAGTGCAAGTACCTTTAGCCCGAGGCGGACACGAACTGACTCTGAGGACGATCCGGTTATCGTCCCCCGTATACGCTCGGCCACGCACAATCTTATCTCGACCTCAACCACTCTACCAAAAGAGACATGTCCATCACGCTGACCAGGCATGGACCGACCACGCTTACTTTGATTCATGTACAATGTATTGCGAGGCCTGACGATAGTGATCTACAAAGGAAGAGTACGAGGCTCAGAACCCAGTGGCGGTGGTGCTGTCGACCTCGATGGTGGGGACGATACTCGCGATGAATTTGAGGAACTGGTCGCCTGTCAGCCACAATCGCCACAAACAGAACGACTCACTATGACCAAGTAAAAGTCTACCGGTACCCCACTTGGCGCCTCTCCATCATCATCCTTCTTCTCCACCTTTGGCGTGCTCCCCCCCGTCACCTTTCTCACCATCCCGCCAATCCCCCACTTCTTCTTCTTATCTTTATCCTTCTCCCCGCCCACACTAGCACTGGCTTCGGGCTGCTCGGGCGCGTACTGCTGCGCCTGGGCAGCTTCCATCCTGTCGATAAACTTTTTCATGACGGAAGCGTGTTTGCACGGGTGGACAGAGGCCAGTTGGGCGCCGGAATGGGGAAAGGTCTCCATGGTCATCGTCTTGAAGGCGTGGTCGGCGGGGACATCTTGGAACACTTGAGCAGGGGTGAGGGGATTCTTGTGCTACAAATGATCAGCCGATGCCGGGCAGGTGAACGACGGGACTTGCCTCGTCATAACCAAACAGCCAGAAACGAGGTGTTTGGTAGTGCTTGTCGTAGCTGATTATGCAGTCATAAGTACGGACTTGGAGCAGATTGCTGTTTCGAGTCTTGTTGACCTCGGCCCTGTCACCAATCAGCCCTTTCCTTAAGCATAGTGATATTGCTCACTCGGATGGGTGCACAATCTTGACCGCGGCATCATCTTCCACATCCTCCAGCCCGGCACCCTCCTCGTCCATATCAGGGATATCATCAATATCCGGAATCTCATCTTCCACCATCTTGCCTTGGCCTGTGAGATCGAGGCCCGCCATCTCGCGCGCGGGCCCAGAGGAGGCGTCGAGCTCGGGAGAGTCCGACATATCGGGGATCTCGTCAATGTTGGAAGCGTCGTGTGTGGGTTCTATAGACAGTCAATACAGCTCGAATGAATCAAAAGACACGCACCTCGCCCGATATGGGTAGCTACCCAGTCTTCATCGTCCTTACCAGGTCCAGGCGCCTCGTCCGCCTGTTGCTGTCAGCTCCGCACTCTTCAGCTCTGCGCTACCCACCTCATCAAAGAAGCTTAGGAGCTGCTCTGTATCCCCATCACCAGTATAATCCACCGCCGTGGCTCGCCTCAAACAAGGCACTACAGCTCCAAGTCAGCCATGCGCTTGGACACCAGGGGGCGCACATACCATTCCGGGTCACAAGATACTGCTTGTCCGCTGGCAAGAACTCTCGAGCTTTGGAACCGTCTCCCTTCTCCCTACGAGACTCGAGTTAGTGACCGGGTACACGAATGGGCACAGCTTCACACTTGCCATTGCCAGACTGGAAACTTGAATGTCAAAAAGTCACCCGCAGCCACAAACTCCTCTGCGACTTGTCAGCTTTGCCCCTCCAGTGACAAACTGAGAGACTCACCAGGAGTGATACGACCGTGCTCCTTGAATTTACTTTCCTTGAGGACCTACAGCGCGGTCAGTGGCGGTGGACGAAGGGTGGCAACGGACGCACCGGGGAGAGATAGTCGCGGACAGCCCAGTACTGGCTCTGCAGTTGTCAGCTACGCCATGTTACCCCCATACTCACCTGTATAGATAGCAGGGGGTTGTTCATCGCTTGGTGTAGTGGATTATCGTGATTCACATCCCATCTGCCACCTGTCATTGTTGACGCCTGCTGTGGCAATTCGACGGTCATCGCCGCCATCTTATTTTTCCTCTCTTCGGCTTTCCGCAATCCATCGACACTTTTTGTTTGGCTCCTTCTAGACACCAATGCCCGTCGAAGAACTGCCCCCATCCAAGCTTGGTACGAAAGAACACTGGGACAGCGTCTATGAGCGTGAAGTCAGAGTTTTCGATGATTGTGGAGACGAGGGTGAGGTATGGTGCGTACTTTCTGTGGTTGGTCTTGTCAGGTGCTGAGTACGGTATAGGTTTGGCGAGGACAGCGTCCGAAAGATGCGCAAGTGGGCGCACACAAATCTGCCTTCTTCCTCAACTACACTGAGGGTCCTCGAATGCGGAAGCGGCAACGGCACCCTCCTCCTCTCCTTCCTCACCTCCCCCGAACCCCCTGCTCGATCCTTCCACCTCACCGGCATCGACTACTGCCTCTCCGCCAAAACACTCGCCGAAAGCGTCGAGAAAAGCCGGAGAGAAGAGCTCGAGGATGAAGATGACCTTGAAGACGAAGAAGTCGTCAATGAGGTGACTGCAGAATGGCGCGTGGGCGATCTGCTGAGAGACGATTTCAAGGGCGAGATTTGGGATTTGGTCATGGACAAGGGGACTTATGATGCCCTCTGTCTTTCAAACGACCCGGTCGAGGAGGATGAACGTAAGAGGTTACCGAGCGAGGTTTACCCGGAAAGAATCACAAAGCTTGTAAAACCTGGAGGGTTCTTTTTGATCACGAGCTGTAATTTTACAGAGGAGGAGATTAAAGAGAGATATGGCAAAGAAGATCTCGGTATGTCATCTTCATTTCAACATTGTCCATGTGCTGACTAGCTTCCAGGTCTGACATTTCAGTGAGCCGTCCTCATAACAGTCAAGCGCGTCTACTGACCATTTCACAGCTCAAGCGTGCCCCATCCCACGTTCTCTTTTGGTGGCAAGAAGGGCAGTACAGTCTGTACGGTTGCCTTCAAAAAGTTCAGCTAGATATGCACTTGTCATGGTATCTCAAACCCCCGTCCCTCACGATAGGGATGGCGTCCAATCGAGACATAAGACATCTTGGAAAGTGATGGAGGCACGTCAGGAAGCGAATCAAGATGAAGAGGAAAATTATGGCTCCAGAGAAGTCGTGACAGCAAAACGGCAACAAAAAAAAAGAAGAAGAAAGACAGCAACAGAGCACTTTCTGACCTGGAAACAAGAATGACAGTAGGCAAAAAGGCAAAAAAGACAAAAAGAAATACACCGTAAGGGAATCGAACCCTTGCCGCAACTATGGCAAAGTTGCATGATACCATTTCACCAACGGTGTGAATTCAAGTGGATTAGACGCACTTGCTTGTTGTGCATTATACTTTGCGCAATAACATGATATCACCCGTGTGTTCAGATGAATGTGATTGAGAGCCAGCTGTCCGGCCAGCTGCACAAGTAAGTCTCTTGGTTTCTCAAGCTTGCTGCCACATGTCACGCATGTCTCGAGGTAAAATGTGAGGTGGGAGTATGGATCACGCACATTTACACTATGGTGGTCACACTGGCTGACGATATTGGTCACAATCGGTCAGTACTCATACGCTACGTACCGTACTACAGTATCGACGGCCATAGCCTCCTCAAAGCACCGCGTCCCGTCTGATCCGCGAAGTTAACTAGGAGAGCGCTCGGTTAGTACCAGGGTGGGGGACCACCTGGGAATCCCGGGTGCCGTCGTTTTTGATTTTTTGCTTTTTGCGTTCTATGGCTGAGTGGTGGAGTCTTTGTATAGGAGAAATCTGGCGCCCTATACCAGAAGAATTCGATCTTCGCGAAAGTGATAATCCCGTACCCTAGGCCTGCAGTCGTTCCTTTGCTACTGCCTTTTTCGGTGATGGTGATGGTGATCGTCATACTGTCAAAGGATTGAGATCCGTTCAATGCCTATCCTTCTTTGCTTTGTTGATCGAGACTTGCCTTCCTGCCCACCATAGTGGTTGTTACTTTAGTTCTTAAGGCCACGGGTAAGCATTCCACGAGCAAAGATTGTATGCTCGGATTTAGATCGCAAGGACACATCGCGCCCGACCCGCTCATCAAGATCACGCGTATAGTACTCGACGCTTGATGTGGAGGGTTATGTCAGATTGAGTATGTGCACAGGGACAATGGCGGGCAGGTGTTTAATGATGTAGTAAGAAAGGTTTTTGCACAGAGAGTGGTAAAGGCTATAGCCAAAGTGGACGGCCTGCTCGCTGAAGAATAAGAATCTCATTTCGCATTCATGCTTTGTCTATCATGTGTTGTCATGACCGTAGCAGGGAGAAGGAGGCGCAATCGGAATGGGACCTTAGTACCGTGCCTATAAGGACAGTCAGCCACCAGCATCACTTCATCCCCTCAGATTGATGATGGACTTACTGGTTCCACAAGAGTCCAGAAGTCTTGTCCTTCGTTGCCTCATCGATCACCTTGAAGATGCCAGCTATATACCATCAGCTGCGACCAGACTTTGCACGAGCAGAGGACACTCACGGACCGTGTCAGCCAGCTTCTCAGGGGGGGCATCAAGACCGGCCAAGGTCGATCCGTGGTAGTCCATATCGCTAACAAAAGTCAGTAACAGAGGTGGACAATCGACCGCTGACATACGTGTCGACCTATCCAGGGTTGATAGCAAAAGCCTTGAGCTTTGGCTCTTCGATATGGATTCCTCGGATCTATGGACTGTAAGCAACTTGTGGATCACCGGAAGGAGCACTACTCACGATGAAGTTGAGAGCGATTTTGGTAGCTCCATAAGCCCCAAGGGAAGGCCCCCAGTCCCCAGTGACGCTTCCCGCCGTAGAGGTGATGGCCACAAAGGCGTCTTCATCGGTCAAAAGAGACCTTGTCGCCTGGTAGAGAGCAATAGGACCGCTGACGTTCGTGATCAAGTCAGTAGAGACGGAAGAGCTGACGAGAGGCGCCGAGTTTTGGGAGGAAGCTGCGTTGGCGATGACGAGGTCGAGGTGGGTGATGCCGGGTTTGCTCTTGAGCTCCTCCACCGCCTGAATAGAACGATGAGCACAGTCAAAAGAGAAATGCGATTGGCTCACCTCTTGAGCGTCGGTGGGGGAGGACGAGTCGATCTTGACGATGACTACCTTGTCCTCTTGGGAGACCTTGGTGGGATTGCGAGCGGCTGCTACTACGCGCCAGGCCTTCTCGAGATAGAACTTGGTGAGCGCGCGGCCGACACTGAATCGCAAGCGTGTCAGCACTGTATACTAGTCGACAGGCAAGAGCGCTACTTACCCCCTGTTGGCGCCAGTGATAAGGACGGTCTTAGACATTTCTGTGGGTGGAATAGAGAATGGAAGTGTGGATAGGTGGGCAAATTCGATGGTCTGCCCCTTCTTTCATAGTGCACGATGAGTCCTGACTCCTGCTTGCTCATCTTCTGCTTGCGTGATCATCTTTCTGCTTGATCATCCCGTTGCTTGATCACCTCCTTGTTTGCTCATCTCTGCTATGCCAAGGCTTGCTTATCAGCAACTGAATAATCACTGGTGAATAGTCACTCTGGTCAATAATACATCGTGAATAATCATTGTCCGGTTCGGCCTGAGCTTCTGTACCTGCGCTCAGTGTACTATCAAGAAGGCGCTGAGGCGGTTGTCGGGCTTTCGAACGGGTGTGTATATCGATTAGGTTCATGGGAGATGTTCTGATCTATGTAGTGTCAAGTCGAGTCACCATCTATGCCTACATGAACACCATATCTGTCAATTCAACATCGACGGCCATAGCCTCCTCAAAGTACCGCGTCCCGTCTGATCCGCGAAGTCAACTAGGAGAGCGCTCGGTTAGTACCAGGGTGGGGGACCACCTGGGAATCCCGGGTGCCGTCGTTTTTGTTCATTTGCTTTTTGCCTTTTGCTGCTGAGACTGCGAAAGAGCCACTGCCAGGAGTTACACCAAACACAGGTGGAACCAAACACACCCAAATCGCGGCGAGATCCGCCTTGTTTGTGCGTCGGGATTTCATGGAAAGTCCGGACTGCGGCACCTCCGTTCGTCAAAAGTGCCCTATTGTGCATCGTTACGTAGCATTCAGCAGCAACGACTCTAATCCGCCCCTCCCTCTATCATACAAAGGTAACATCAAGGCGGCACGCACCGACATGTCCGAGGAACCGCCCGCAAAGAAACAAAAGTCGACTGGCCGGCGTGCACTGAGCTGTACCGAGTGCAAGAGGCGGAAGACAAAGGTGATTTCTCGTGGTGTATTGCGGGTAGCCTGGCTGACCTCGAGTGAAAGTGCGGTGTAATCGGAAAGATACCATGCGACTCGTGCATCAAGAGGGGCAAGCCGGGGGACTGCGTTTGGGAAGGTATCACTGGAGTGCCCGGTGACTTGTCTGTGGCAGCGTGAGCCTCACCCTGAGCTTGAGCTACAGCATCAACTGAGACGTTCATCTCTAGTGGCCCGCATCCCTCTGCAGCACCATCCACAGAAATGACTGTACTCCAAGAACAAGTTCGTCAGCTCCTCGACCGCGTCGATCGTCTAGAGCGGCTACCCCATTCATCTTCGACATCGCTCGAAAACCATCTCTCAACATCAGCCAACCATCACAACTCTTCTTTCTCAGATACTCCAGGTGCTCGTAACGCGATATTGCTCCCGTCTAGGGATGCGATACAAGCGAGTGGAGAGTCACCAAAAGACACCCGGGCCGTAGAGAGGGAGACGATGGAGCTGGAGGACGAGATATTTGGACCAGGGTTGAGGCCCGGGTTGACAGAGACTCGATCTTTGAGACCCACCATTCTCGAGACAGCTTCCAGCTCTGTGAGATCGACTCAGCAGCAACTGCGTACACCCCGTGACGCCAATCATATTGTTACCGCCCCTCGGGCAAGTATCGACACTAGGGTCGACACCGATGTCAAGGTGGATGATCTCAAGACTTTGCTAAGACCGAGCGAATCCGGTGTGGGATCCGAGCTGGTCAAGTGGTACTTTGAAGGACCGATGCACATGGGTTGGCATGTAAGCGACCCATCCTATCCTAGAATTGTGCTGACTGCCCAACTCAGGTAATCCACCGATTCCATTTCCTCAATACCTATTCCACCATCATGACGCTATCACCAGAGGAACAAAATGAAACGGACCGTTCATGGTGGGCCATCTACTACATGGTACGTTCTGTGCTTCTTTCAAGGCTCAGGACTAATGAGGACAAAGATACTAGCCAATTCTGTACGCTTCACCCCCGCTTCCTTCATCAACCACCTCCTTCCGTCTACTACGTGGGACTTAGACCTTCTTCCAGACCTTCTCCACCAGATCAGTCTCGATGAGCTGGACAACTCAGACTACCAAGCTGTCCCTCAAGTCCGCCATATCCAGGTGGCATTGCTCTACATCAACTATCTGTTCCATTTCGGCGACTCGCCAGCCAAAGCCAACTTGGCTCTGCGCCATCTCGACTCGGCCATTACGACTGCTCAGTGGCTATCACTGGATATACTCTCACCTTCGTCGGCCGGGCCACCACCATTGCTGAAGAATGATCCCGCGTTGGAAGGATTGCCAACGGAAGCTGCGATGCACCTCGCAAAACAGCTTTTCGCAATGCTCAACTTTCTAGATGGGACCATCTACAAGAGAGCTAGAGTGTGGAGGATTCAGTCTACAGCATCGAGTAAGTTTGCCGGGGGCGTGGGGATATCTCTGCTGACGTGTGCAGATGCCACTCAAGCTCCTGCCAACCTGACAGACTATCAATCTGCTCCACAATACGCCAACTCGACATCAGACAATGTTGACGTGACTCTGATGGCATTTTCGGGTGTCTTGCCAGATCCGGATACACGCGTATTCACAGAGTCCAGCCTGGCTATTCTAGGATCGGCGTTCGCAAACACCATTCGCCAATTCACCAAGGATCTAAGCACAGGTATGACTCTCGTCTCGTACGATATGATTCGGGCTGATCAGTCTTGCAGAAGAGATGTCGTACGAAGATATTTTGGAGTTTTCGCAAGGCCTGGAGCGTACGCTAGAACGGGTACCCGCTTGGGATAATCTGCAAACCGACTCTGCCTGTATGTTCTTTCAATGTCCAACCGTACGCTACTGACAGACTGGCAGGGATGATATACATTGTCTACAGCAGCATCAACAACCGCATCCTTCGAATGCATCGACCGTACATGCACAAAGGGTATACAGACGCTCGATTTTGGGCCGCAAGGGAGACGAGCATCCAAGCTGCGTCGAGGATTATTCAAGCGCAATCAATGATCCCCACGGGACTTCGGCCAGCGTAAGCCTGCCATCCTGTGATGAGAGTTGAATCTGACCGAGTATAGATTTGTGAAACGGTGGATCCTCGGCGCTAGCATCATCCTCGCCCTCGACGCCCTCCTCGTCCTCCACCCCCTCTGCGCGCACACCCAATCTCCAACCGAACGGGAATCCGTCCGCTCCAACTCTCTCTACTACATCTCCACTGCCAAAATCGACATTTTCGACAAGGACGACCAGTCGCAAGATTTGAACCGATTATGTTCGAGGGCGATAGGGATACTGGTGGTGGAAGTTGCGAATGCGGGGGAGGCTGGTGTTTTTGATGGTGTGATGGGGGAGGGAGGGGATGGGCAGGTGATGGGTATTGAAGAGTTTTCGAGGCGGTTCATGGCTAGGGTCAAGAGGAGGTTGCTAGAAGGAGAGATTGCGAGAAGTGCGTGCCCTTGGCCATACCGTCGATCGATGCTGATGATATGTGCAGAAGCGGCAAACCTTCAACTCCAGCCCGATATCGACCCCGAGCCCCAGATAATGCAATCCATCCTCGGCTCCAATCCTTCGCAGCACCAGAACCCGCTCGACGTATTCGACTTTTTCGACTTTACATTCCTGAACCGGCCCGTCAATGATATCAATGATGGTGCGCTGCCGGTGGGGGGTGAAGGTACGAGTGGTGATGGAGCGCTGGAAGGATTGGGAATATCCACAGGGAGTGGTGCTGGTTTGGGATTGACGAGCGGTGTGGATGAAGCGACTGCTGGGCAATCGCAGGGGCCTATGAACAGTCTTGGATTCTGGGAAGAATTCGGGTGGAACTTGGTTTGATCTATAATAGAGTAGTCGCTTATGACATACCTGTACATTAGTAAACGGACACCAGTACGAGTTGATTCCAATCCACTTCTGCGGGCCTGCACTGATTTGAACAAGGACACGAGAAGTGTCACCGGTATCGTATCGATCATATCCAGAAGCAATGCACTATACTACAACAAACAAGCTAACAACCCAACTCTCCACCACCTCCCAAGCCTCCCCAGAAACAGACTCAAACCCCAGACTCCGTCCCCACCATCGAAGCCACAGGCGGCTTAAACTGCCCAAACCCTTGTGCCTCAAACAACAGTTCTGTACGGATGACGATTTTCCCGCCGCCGGCGCCTACTGCGCTGCCTTCGTGCAGGAGGGAGCCTTGTGTATCTCCGTGGGCTATCATCGCGATTTCAGTTTAGCAATGACGACACAGGACGAGGGGGTGGACTCACGGAAACACAAAACAGCCCCCTGCACAGGTTTCACACCAAAAGCTTCCATCACGCCCATCCTCTCCGACGGCAAGAAGAATGTCGTACAGCCCGTATCTTCTGGGATGTCGGAATTGAGGTAGAGGAGGAGGGTGTAGCGGGACCAGAGAGGGTCTTCTGGTGGGCTTGAGCTGTGGGGGAGGGATTAGTGTGTATTGGGGTGAGAAGGAGGGGGAGGGGGACGTACTCGTGGAGGTATTCGCCGGTTTCGGGATGAAGACCTGCTGCAGGCCAGGCGCCATCAATATGCGGCTATCCCCGCATCAGCACAATCCACACCAGACATAATGACAAAGGCTTACGCGATATAGTTGATTCTCGATATACTCGTACACTCTAAACCTCGCATTGATCCCCCTCACCTTTCCACCACCATGACCTTCCGGAGATACCGGGGCTGTTTGGGGAACGAAAGAAAGGATCTGGTCGTAGAAATGTTGGAGGAAAGGTTTATCGGCGAGCCAGACAAAGTTGCGCGCCAGGATCTGTACCCGAGTTTAGCTTTATACCAACAACAAAAGGGGTAAGAAAAGGCGTACAGAGTTTTTCATGACTGCTGATCCTGCAGCCGCTTCGTCTTTTTCGAATCCAATGGCCGATGCGGCTTGAACGATCTGCAGACATTCTTCAGGTGTAAAGACGTCTAGCACCATGAATGCGCCGGGGACGCCGGGGACGTCCATCCTGGATGGTTGGCGAGGGCGAATTTCTGAGGGTGTGAGGGTAATGGCGTTGGGGGAAGAGCCGTAGACTGTAGAGTCGTAGAGGTTGGGAGGTTTTCGGAGGGCGGCGGGGACGTGGTGGACGGAGGTAAAGTTGGGGTATGGATTGGGCGGAGGGGCATCTGTTGGGATGTTGGACCAAGAAAGAACCTCGGGGGCGTGTGACGACTCACCAAACAAGGTATCGCTCTGCATCTTTTCCCAGATCTGAATCTCCCCTTCGATAGGACCTCTCGCGACCCAAGGCTTCTTCCTCCGGATCACAGAGCTCGCACTAGGCGCACTCTTGGCCTCTTTGTCTTCAGCAGTCATGTTGGCGATGCGCAGGATCAGATCGAGGCATTTCAGAGCTTCCGGGTCGCCTGGCGTTCCATCGGCACCGGAAGTAGCATCACATTCTCTGACCCATCGCTGAAGCGCACCAAGTTTGGGCGGGAGGCGCCTGGTGTACATTTCAAAGAGGAATATCAGAGCGTCGGTGAATCGGTAGTCTTGAAGAGCAGCCGAGATCTTGGAAGTGAGGGAAGCTCCGAGGGTGGCGCCCTCTGCCATGACCCGATGGAGGTCGTATGTCGCCCGCTTGACATCCTTCATGCGCTTGTCCGAGAGTTCGTCGGGGTTCTCTGCGAGAGTCTTGAGGACATAGATGGCGGTTTCGATCTCTTCGGGCTCGATGAGGGAGGACGAGGACGAGTCGGGGGGTGTGTTGAGGGATTCTTGTTTTTGAGGGGCGGGTTTGGAGCTGAGCTTGCGCTTTTTGTTCTGTTTCTTGTCTTTCGCCATCGTGGTCGTCGTACAGAGATGGCGAAAATAATGGCACAGAAAAGTGGAGTGCGCAAGTGGGCCGCAGCCCAGATTGGCACAGGAACGGGCATATACTCTGGGATTTGATTGGGACCGGCCCAGAACCTGAAATGTTTACGGTTACCTGCGAACGCGAACCAGGTGCATTCTTCTCGTCATCCAGCAAAATCACAGCGAACAGCGAACAGCGAACATGGCCCCCCACTCGGACGACGAGGACCACGAACTCGCAGTCTACGGCGAAGCCTCCAGCTCCACAAGACCCCTCCTCAACGACCCCCGCAACCGCTCGCAACCGCCCTCGCATTACAAGCCCCACCCGAGACGCCTGCTCAGAACCGTCATCTTCATATCAATACCCTTCCTCCTCGTGTTCATCTACTCTCTCATACACCCCCACGTCAGGGGGCTTCCACCGCTACCGAGAATATCAATAACGTCCGGGGGCACAGTCAGTCAGCCCGACTACGAGGACAAGATCACGCAAGACTGTCTATGCGGCGCCACCGACGAGGGAGAACGGATCTGCTCGCTCTATCATGAAGAGGGACTGCGGAATACGAGACTTGTTCAGGGGTCGGGAAGTAGGATGAGAAGGGTGCTGCAGAAGGCTCGCGAGGGGAAGAAGCTGAATATCGGCGTTTTGGGTGGAAGTGGTGGGTCTACCACGTCTTCATTAGTTTGGCGCTGACCTTGCTAGTCACTGCGTGCCATGGTGTCCATCCAAGTGCCTCCTTTCCCCAAGGAGACCCAGCTGGTCCAGGTTGTTGGACTACAATCTTCATCGAATGGGTCCGAAAGACATTCCCCGATGTGCGTACTGTTCCGATTGCGCAGAAATTGTAAGGCTGACTGGGATATCAGGCAGACCACCATATCAAGAACGGTGCTATCGGAGGAATGGATTCGAGTTTTTACGCTTTCTGTGGTGCCCATCATATCCCAGAAGACACGGATCTCGTAATTCTAGAATTCGACGTCAACGACCAAAAGTGCGTATCAGCCCTCACCTCAAACCCTTCTACTCACAGCCATACAGCGATCCCCTCTACGAAGCATTCTTCGACCAGCTCCTCCGCGCCCTCTCTGAATTCCCCAGCGAGCCCGCCATCCTCGTCCTCGGCGCCTGGTGCCCGCAAGTAGCGCACGACCAAGGCTACGGTGATCCCCAAATTGTCCATTCACCCATTGCGCTCTACTATGACGTTCCGTACGTCTCGATGAAGAGGCTCATGTTCCAGCATTATATGAGATACCCTCTGTCGACTGCAAAGGCGTTCTGGCAGCCTGATATGGTGCATCCCAATGCGCGTGGGCATGTAAGTGATCTGGGCTCTTGAGGATGTCGGCTAACGACTCATTAAGCGAGTACTGGCGGACACGCTCATATCGTATCTCGAATCCGAGCTATGCATGCTCACGCGATACGGCCTCCCCGTCGTCCCCCCCACAGAAGACACCATCGCATCCACCAATCCCTTCACTTCCCTCGTCGACGTGCCCTTTGCGCTCGACACACTCCACCTCGTCGACCCCGTTACCCCGCCCGAAGGCTGGGAAGAGACTTTCGACCTCGCCCCCCTACAGAAACTTCGCGACGAGCGACGTCTCTTCGTCGTGCCTTCTTCCCCTTATGCCATCCCCCCCGTGGGCGTCTTCACCCCCCTCCGCGAAGTCGTCGACCCCCACAACCCCGACCCCTCCAGCGGCGCCCACATCGAAGGTCTCCGCCAACCCCAACTCTTCTGCGCTGATGCAAACGACAAGAAGAACCCGATGACGCCGACGGTGGCGGATGGGTGGGAACCGTTTGTGTGGAATGGGGAGAAACATTACTGGGTGGCTGATAAGCCTGGGGCGAGGATCAGGGTGGAGATCAAGGTCAATGCTGGAAGGTGAGTGCATCATTGCATATTTGTTGGTGGGGGTACTGATACGGAGCATAGGGTTGCGGTGTACTATTTCCGGAGTCAGCATTACAACCTAGGCGACGCCAAGTGTTGGGTGGATGATAATGAAGAAGGAGGAGTGCTGTTACATGGGTACTGGACCAGGCAGTACAATGTCGCCATGTACGTCCCTTCCCACTTGCTTGTAATTACTTGCTTAATCGTCCTGCAGTGTGGCATATATCGACGAAAAAGTCACCCCAGGCGACCATTAGTACGTCCCCTCTCTCTCCCCTTCCCATCATTCGAGCACAAGGCTGACAAGAATATGATAGCGTCACTTGCGAGGTGGCCAACACTACACACCACCCCACCAACTCCGCTGCCCATCATTTCAGGCTTACAGCCGTCATGGCGACATGAGACTCCGTCAGCTTTTGGGGCATGAGAGATGTTTTCTTTCGGGTCCGTTATGCATTTTTGTAATATCCAGGGATCTTTCAAGACCGGCAAGAGTTGATCAGACGACAGGCAGTCAAGACAGGACGACAGCTGCAGCATTTCCATGAATGTCCCCTGGCCAAATACTCTGCTCGCCTCTGTTCGCATGCCCTGCGCATCCCTCACCGGAAAAGAAGCAAAAAGAACAAAAAACGACGGCACCCGGGATTCCCAGGTGGTCCCCCACCCTGGTACTAACCGAGCGCTCTCCTAGTTGACTTCGCGGATCAGACGGGACGCGGTACTTTGAGGAGGCTATGGCCGTCGATATCAGACATGCCTGATGGCCTGCTCTGTCGACAAAGATCGTCTTACTATGATATGGTACAGAATCTACGATAATTGGAATGGTAACGCCCGACCCCCGCTGTCGATATGGTGATCAGAAAGAAGTCGCGGGACATGGATGATCTGGTGTCGCAGACTGTGAGGGATATGGCGACTAGTGGGATGAGGGATGCCCAAGGTCATTGTATCGCGCTCATCGGCATATGACTGTAATAACATACAAAGCTTCGGTCAACAGTTGAAAGGCCTTTTCCGAAAACCTCGCAACACTGACAACTCCTAGGACCCTTATAGCCTTCATACCCAATAATCTCTCCCCACCAGTTTCTTAAGTACTGATCGAATTCTTCGTATGGCTGTATTCGGGCATCTAAGTAGATATCGAGATAGCTCAGACACGCAGACATGCTGGAGCACAGTACCGAAAGAGTCGTGCTCGACCCGTGGGTAGCTGTAGTCGGCACGAAAGATGAGTCAAGCTTGCACCCAGGGAGAGGTGGGTGACGGAGAAGAAGAGGGGATCTGTCATCCGAGTAGAGTTGACACATCTGCGGAAGATACCTGCAACAGGCTCCTTTTGTGGCAGCTTTCTGAATCGCGGCATTGCAGATCTTCATCTCGTCAAAGATGATCAAGCTGACGAAGTAGAGCCTGCGGCACTGTCGTATGAGATGGAGCTTGCGAATGGAGGGGTGGAGTCCGAAAGGGATGACAGAGAAGTACTTGTACTCCTCATAGGGAACGCTGGTGCCGCACAAGTGGGCGGGTCGTGCTACAGGAAACATCGGAGGCAAATAAAACTCCATCTGCGCCAAAAGGTCTCAAGCCCTGTCGGAGAATAGTCTCTGCCAGTTTCGCGAAACATCCAAGAAGGGCACGGGGGCACGCTCCCATCAAAATGCCCTTCGGACCATAATCCTCGAAAGAATGTCGCACAATTCTGATCATTGAGCTCCACCACTTCATACAATCTTTAAGCATTTAACGAATACAGCTTTTTGGAGAGAGTAATGAGATTGAGAAAGCGGCTTCTGCTCTCGAGGGGACCTTGGGCGAGATAGTGGGAGTAGATGAGGGAGATGATTTCGGAGGGCAAAGGGGAGAGGGTTAGTGATGTCGGGTGGTGGGGGTGTACCTTGATGAGATTCGGACATGAGCGACGGTCTGGAGAGGGGAGTAGTTGGCTGTGTAGGCTGTATGTGCAACAGGGAGAATGCGATCAAAAAAGAGAATAATCAGCCGCTTCATCTTGGCCTCGATTATTTGTTCCAGGCGATCGGAACTAGCCTCAAAGGCAAACAGCAAAAAAGATATACACCGTAAGGGAATCGAACCCTTGCCGCAACTATGGCAAAGTTGCATGATACCATTTCACCAACGGTGTTGATACAAGTGGAATAGATCAACTTGGATATATGCAGGCTAAACCGGACAATCTAATGTAAATAGGAACGACTGAGTCCCTCAGTTGATATGTTGACAAGCAACGCATATTACTCGTATGGTGTGCCCATCTCTTCTTTTCACTCTTTTCTTCCTCCGTCAAGTGGGAACTAAAAGGTCACTTCGAGTACGTGACACTGCTGTATCACCTCATAAAGTCATGCCATACCATCATCTGGCTCGACATGATTCCCCAGCGCCAACGACCGAGTCCTATTCGTACTGCAAGCTTGTCCTCCATCGACGGCCATAGCCTCTTCAAAGTACCGCGTCCCGTCTGATCCGCGAAGTCAACTAGGAGAGCGCTCGGTTAGTACCAGGGTGGGGGACCACCTGGGAATCCCGGGTGCCGTCGTTTTTG